AGGAAGTGGAGGTTGATGAGGCCAATGACAAGAAGAGGAAGAGCAAACCGCAGCTACTTTGGCTAATTTTAAGAAATCTTTGCCAGCCTCAAAACCATTTAAATGTTTGAGACATGTTGGTAAGTCTCTTTGAGGTGGGGCATGAAACAACCACCCACTCCCATACCTCTCTTTTATCATCCACCATGTTCCATATGATTTGAAAGTGGCGAAGATCGTTGTAACTTAAAAGCTGGTCCTCCTCAGTGGAATAAAACAAGGAGAAATTCTCAACAATTATGGCTTTTAAAAAAAGAAAAATTCAGAAGTTAGACAATTATGCTAATCTGTCATATTTCAGAAAGAGTAAAACATCTATTATTAATAATGGATTCTATCACCTACATCATAAGCCAGATTTTTAAAGTGCTTTTAGTATGGTTTCCAAATTGGTATGTTTACACTTGGACTAAGCTATTTCTGCAGCTCCTGCCTTTCCAAAGCATGAGGGTCATAAGCACAAACACACATTCTGTGTATAGAGATAGTCATGCCAGCTGGCTTTAACTCTTAGTTGAGAGTTCCAGGGCCATTTTTAAAGGTCAAATTGAGTTCTGGGTGGCCCCATGGCTGGGTGAATAAGGTGTACCTTTCAAAAACATAAATGTGATATTTCAAGGCTAGACAGTCCTCTCTGATATTTGTTCAACTCAGTCCATGAGAAGAGCTCTTTTGAAATTAATGATCATAATAAATGTTACAACTCTTAAAATTGCAGTCAACTGTCATTTACATGCCTTTCAAAGGTCTTTTCAGCTTCTGGACTGAGAGACAACAATTTATAATTAAAAATGCCATGAAACACCCACCTCAAGCAATCCAAGATAATTGCTTGAAAATCATACATAATTATCTAAGTACCTGAGTTTAAAGAGTAAAAAGTATTCAACTAACATCACTTACCTACAAGCAGATTTAGCATGATGTAGGCAATGATGACATAAAATGAGCAGAAATACATAAGTGCCCCAGCATAGTTTCCACAGTCTGTTGCCCAGTATGTAAATTCATCTGGAGTACAAAAAGGAGGCTGAACCTTTGGGGCATTGGGGCAGAAGAAGAAGGAGAGGATAAGAGTAGAGAATAGAAATTTCTTTTAGCTGACTATAGTTAATGAATAGATTCCTAAACATATAGAATATAATTAACTTCAAAGTAAGCTTTCAAAAGCCACATACATTGGGTACATCATCAGCAAAAATAAAGAAGAATATTTCACTTATGGTATGCTGTTATCTTGTAGAATCCCAAGGTTACTGCCATTTTTAAAAGCACAATGAAAATGAACTGATCTCCACTAGATACTCTTTCTGCCTCCGCCACTAGCCCCAAGTGATAAGTAGCCACTGTGATGCAAACTGCAGAAAATCAAATAAAAAGACATTTGCAAGTTTTTCTCTGACTGAAGTAACGGGTTAAGATTTGGGAATATACACTCTACAGGTATACCTTGGAGACATTGCAGTTTCAGTTCCAGACTGCTGTGATAAAGTGAATACTGCAATAAAACAAGTCCCATGCATGTTTTGGTTTCCCAGTGCATATGCAAGTCATGTTTATACCATACTGTGGCTTATTAAGTGCACAATGGCATTATGTCCAAAAAGGTACGGACCTTAATAAAAAGTATTTTTATTGCTAAGAAAAGCTAACAATCATCTGAACCTTCAGTGAGTTGTAATCTTCTGCTGGTGGTGGAGGGTCTTGCCTCAATGTTGACAGCTGCTGACTGAGCAGGGTGGTGGCTCTTGACGGCTGGGAGGCTGTGGCAATTTCTTAAAACAAGACAACATGGAAGTTTATCGTATCAACTGACTCTTCCTTTCATGAAAGATTTTTCTGCAGCATATGTTGCTGTTTGCTGGCATTTTACCCACAATAGAACTTCTTTCGAATTTGGAGTCAATCCTCTCAGACCCTGCTGCTGGTTTATTGAGTAATTTTATGTAACATTATAAATCCTTTGTTGTCATTATGACTACGTTCATAGCACCTTCTGCAAGAGTAGATTCCATTTCAAGAAACCACTCTAATCATCCATAAGGAGGAATCTTCATTCCATCAAGTTTGATCAGGAGACTGTGGCAATATGGTCACATCTTCAGGTTCCATTTCTAATTCTAGTTCTCTTGCTATGTCTACCAACCACATGTATAGTGACTTCCTTCACTGAAGTCTTGAACCCCTCAAAGTCATCCATAATGACTGGAATCAACTTCTTCCAAATTCCTGTTAATGCTGATGATATTTTGACCTCCTTCCATGAATCATGAATGTTCCTAATGGCATCTAGAATAGTGAATCCTTTCTAGAGGTTTTTCAATGTACTTTGCCCAGATTCATCAGAGGAATCACTATCTATTGCAGCTATTCACCTTATGAAATCTATTTCTGAAATAATAAGACTTGAATGTTGAAATGACTCCTTGAGCCATGGACAGAATGGATGTTGTGTTAGCAGGCATGAAAACAACATTAATCTCCTTATACATCTCCTGGTACAGCTCTTGGTTGACCAGGTAGATGCATTGTTAATGAGCAGTACTACTTTGAAAGGAATCTTTTCTTTCCTGAGCAGTAGGTCTCAAGAGTGGGCTTAAATATCCAGAAAACCATGCTGTAAACAGCTCTTCTGTCATCCAGGCTTTGTTGTTTCATTTATAGAGCACAGGCAGGGTAAATTTAGCGTAATTCTTAAGAGACTGTATTAGTCCATTATCACGCTGCTAATAAAGACATACCTGAGACTGGGTAATTTATAAAGAAAAGAGCTTTAATTGACTCACAGTTCAGCAGGGATGGGGAGGCCTCAGGAGACTTACAATTATGGCGGAAGGGGAAGCAAACATGTCCTTCTTCACATGGTGGCAGCAAGAAGTGCCAAGCAAATCGGGGGAAAGCCCCTTATAAAACCATCAGATCTCATGACAGCTATAGTGAGAACTCACTCAGTATCACAAGAACAGGATGGAAGAAACCACCCCCATGATTCAATTATCTCTGCCTGGTCCCTCCCATGACACAGGGAGATTAAGGGAACTACAATTCAAGATGAGATTTGGGTGGGGACACAGTCAAACCATAGCAGGGACCTAGGATTTTTGGAATGGTAAATGAGCATTAGCTTCCACTGAAAGTTACCAGCTGCATTAGTCCCTAACAACAGAGTCAGTCTGTCATTTGAAGCTTTGAAGCCAGGCATTGACCTCTCCTTTCTAGCTATGAAAGTTCTAGAGGGCATCTTCTTCCAATAGAAGGATGTTTTGTCTACATTGAAAATCCATTGTTTAGTGAAGCCACCTTAATTAATTATTTTAGGTACATCTTCTAGATAACTTGCCACAGCTTTTACATCAGCAGCACTTACACTTTTATATTATGGAGATGACTTCTTTCTTTCCTTAAACATCATGAACCAACCTTTACTAGCATGGAATATTTTTTTCTGCAGCATTCTCACCTCTCTCACCCTTCATAAATCTGAAGAGAGTAAGGGCCTTCTTCTGCATTTGGCTTTAGCTTAAGAGCATGTTGTGGCTAGTCTGATCTTCTATTCAGACCGGTAAAACTTTCTCCATATCAGCAATAAGGCTATTTCTAATCAGTCATGTGTTCACTGGAGTAGCATTTTAATTCCCTTCAAGAACTTTTCCTTTGAATTAACAACTTGAGTAACTATTTGGTGCAAGGGACCTAGCTTTTGGGCTAACTTGGCTTTTGACATGCCATTCTCTGTAAGCTTAATCATTTCTAGCTTTTGATTTAAAGTGAGAGATGTGTGAATCTTCTTTTCACTTCAACACTTATAGGCCATTGTAGGGTTATTAATCGGCCTAATTTCAATATTGTTGTGTCTCAGGACATAGGGAGGCCCAAGAAAAGAGAGAAGTGTTGGAGAAACAGCTCTTTGGTGCAGCAGTTAGAAGACATATGACATTTATCAATTAAATTCTCCATCTTATTGAGCATGATTCATGGCACCCCTCAAAACAATTACAAAAGAAACATCAAAAGATCATTGATCACAGATCACCAAAACAGATATAATAATAATGAAAAAGTCTGAACTAGTGAGAATTACCAAAATGTGATAAAGAACCAGAAAGTGAGCAAACACATGCTATTAGAAAAATGGCCCTGATAGATCTGCTCAACACAAGATTGCCATAAAGTCTTTTACACAAGACTTTGTAAAAATGCAAAGTCTGCAAAAGGCAATAAGTGAAGCATAGTAAAACAAGGTGTGCCTGTACATAGCAAATTCACGTTCAAATTGTGTAAGGAGTGAGCCCCATTCCTGGAACACTGTCATGGGATGCTATGGAATAGCACAAGACTTAAGTCATCAAAAACTCTCTCATCATTTACAGGCTCAATAAAATGCCAATGCCTCTGACAGCACTTTCTGGTTTTTCTCAGCCAGAGAAACTAGCTCTTTCTTCTTTAATCCCAGCATTCTGCTTGTATTTTTATTTAAGATTCGTTAAATTTTGCGTTGTGTTCTATTTGATTTGGCAAATTCTCCTTGTTAATTCATGCATGAAGTCCTAGCGCTCCTACTCTGTGCTAGGTTTGTGCCAAGTCTGGGGAGAGACTGGTAAGAAAGACATAGGCCCAGTCCCTTCTTCCTGCTGACAGTTGGATGCTGTGTAATCCAATATGGTGACCACTAGCTCCATGCAGCGATGTAAATTTAAATTTATGTTAATTAAAAAGTAATAATATAAAATTAAAAGTAAAATTCAGTTCCTCAGTTGTGTTAGTCATATTTTCAGTGCCCCATAACCACATATGGCTAGTGGCTCCCCGAATTGGACAGTGCAGATTTCCACCACTGCAGAACTTTTATAAGATAGCATTGGTCTGTCCTATAGTGAGAAAGAGATAAAATAAATGAATGTAAGCCAATAATTCACTACAGCTGTGATACTTATTACAAAGGAGAACTATAGAGCAGCATAAGAACATATAGCTGGCTGTCTTAGCTGAAGGCAAAGACCTGAAGGAATGGATGTTTAAACTGATGCCAGAAGGATGATGCTTGGGGAAGACAGGGTATAGTAAGAAGAAAGTATAAAGTATACTTTATAGTATAAAGGAAGAGTAGCTCAGAGCCCTTGAGGTAAGCTCCCGGAGTGTGCCTTGGAGTTGCTGAAGACCTAGCACCTAGCATATAGCTGAGGGGCAGTGAACTATCTACTGAATATGTTAAATTAAAGGGCTCCCTGTTTGACTTTGATTACCAAAATATTAAAGATGGGAGGGAAAGAACAACACCCACAGAATGCATATTTGTTGAATGGAACTACAATAGCTCAGGTTGGGTTAATTGAGTATTTTGCCCTAAATATTCATGCATTGGAATGTATAATAATGCAATTTTATGGACTGAAGTGTCAGGATTTATATTTCATACACAAAGTCTTGATGCTAACAAGGATGATCCTGCCAACATTGGGTTGCAAGACTTTCATGCTGATTCTAAGTCTAAGTTTTGTTCATGGTGAGAGATATTTACCATACAGTCATGCATAATCTTGTTCCAGTCTTCACCTGTGACAATTCGGAACAGTACGGTAATAGCTTTGCCAGCCGAAGAAAAGTTTGCATGCCTAATTTAAGAAAAAAAAAATTAACAGAATGTGAATAGAAGGGTTTGTCATGAAATAGCATAGTTTGCCACCACCAAAACAAGTGGAGGTTGTAGTAAATTTGGTTGCTAAGTTACCTTTTCCAAAGGTTATACCTTTTTATTAGTTTGTCATTTATACTTGCCTCCAAATATAGCTGTCTGAACACCCAACTCTGGCATGACCACTAATTTATTGCCATTCATCTTGAATGACTAAGTAGGCAGGCTTTGGCAACTAAGTGATTCCTTCTTTCACTTGGAGGACGCTATAAAAGGTGGGGCAGCCATGTAGCTAATTCCTACAACCAGACATATTGGTATATACTTTGTTGTATCAGGACTTTAAAAAAAAAAAAAGAGATGCATCCATAAAACTTAGGCAAATCATTGAAAACTGCTTTTCATATATTACAACCATTTGGGGGGCTCTTACTTCCCATATTTTCCTGAGAAAGAAACCCAAAGTTATCTTAAAATTGTTCCAACTAAAAATAGTATATCATTTTTTGGCAATATGTAGATAGAAAAAGTGCTGGAATTGGGAGTGATGATTACTGAATGTTGGTGGAATTATGGATTCTTTTTGTTTTCTTTTATTTCTAAATTTTCTAAGGTTTTGAAATTAGACCTTTTCAGTTGAATAACCTTTTTCAACTGGAAAAATATCATTTAAAACTTGGCTATTTTATTTTAATTTCCAACAGATTACTTCCCTTTTACCTCTCCTAGACTTTAGTAGACAAAAGACATTTGTTTATTTAAAATTTTATTACTAAAGGGTTTGCTTGATAAATGAATAGAAAGATAAATATACACCAACCTGTTAATGTTCTCCCCATATTTCACAGTACCAAACAAAACAACTCCAGCAAAAGCGTAACACAGCAGCAAGAGGAACATGCCTACTATGATAAAGAAGCTCTTGTACATGCTGACGACCACTGTCAAGAGGAGCATCTTTAGCGTTACCTGTGGACCAGGAGTGGGAAGCAGAGAGAGGGGGAGAGAGAGAGAGAGAGAGAGAGAGAGAGAGGAGGGAGAGAGAGAGAGAGGGAATGGGGGAGGGAGGGAGAGAGAGAGAGAGAGAGAGAGAGAGAGTGGGAAGGAGAGAGAGAGAGAGAATATTCAATCCATTAAGCTATGGAAGACCTGGGTAGCAACTAATTTTTAAGCAGACTGGCTCAAAAGTGATTCTTAGGTGTATCATTTGGAAGTTGCTTTCTATAAGGTATTAAATCTACATATTCTTCAAAACCCACCAGGCATTGGGTGAATGTTATTCTTACTTCAAACATTTCAGCCTCTTCACACAAATTAATAAGAGTAACATTAAGCATTTTCACCTTCCATTTTCTCTTCTCCTGCTCCTCAATTCTCTATGATACGGGCTACACATTTTTGACTGATAGCAAGTAAACTCAGGTTTCTTCCACAAATAGACTTCCACAGAAACAAACCTAAGCAATGGTATAATACTAAATAACTATAAAACATTAAATATATTGGTTATGTGTACATATGGAATGTATATATGAAATAATGTTTGTAATAAAAAAGGAAACAGCATTGTAAAAAATGAAAAATATATGTGGAGTATACCCATGAACATTAACAAATAATATTAAAAAATCTGGAATCCCATCCTAGCTAACATGGTGAAACCCTGTCTCTACTAAAAATACAAAAATTAGCTGGGTGTGGTGGTGGTGGCGCATGCCTGTAATCCCAGCTACTTGGGAGGCTGAGGCAGGAGAATCACTTGAACCTGGGAGGTGGAGAAAACAGTGAGCCAAGATCCCGCCACTGCACTCCAGCCTGGTGACAGAGCAAGACACTCTGTCTCAAAAAAACAAAACAAAACAAAAAAAACTGGAATCATGGAAACATACAAATTCATTAAAGATTATTTTTCTGTGAAGTAAAGTTACGTAACTTTATTGAAAATAAAAATAAAAATGCATTAAGAATTAAGAATATTGGTTTTTTTCATGACTGATATGTTATCTTTAAATTAATAAATTTAATTATTGAATATAAAGAATAGGCAACATAAATGGCAGGAAACACATTGAATGATAACTAATTCATTTAATAATTAGTTATTTTTTATTAATGATTCATTTAATAATATTTAATATTTGTTAATCTTGACTTATGATGTCTAGTAATTTGTGACTACATCCCTAAATACCTGGAGGTAAGGCTGTAATCAATTAATCACCATTCTTTCATTAACACATATATAACCTTGAATAAGATTCTTCACAAGGTACTTACATGTTTTCCACAGATGGAGAAAAACCTAAATACAATCACACAAGCGCCCATCATGTAGGTATATGCATTCTGAAATTTAAACAGAAGACAGCCTCTCATAATTTGCACAAAAGATCTTGTTACAGTTCCATTTTTTAAGTATTCCGTGAAGTATACTGAATAATTAGCTGAATATGTATAAATTCTTGTAAGAAAGTTATCTTAAAAAGGTGCTGAAAAGGTCACTGCAAAAACTCATGAATAAATATTAGATTTAAAATTCAATCTCAAATGAAACTTCAGGTTCTGTTTTACTCAGTTAAATTCTGTATTTTGAAATTTATTTTACATAAAATGGTGACCAGCTCTTTTGTATATATGGTGTGAAAAACATAGGATAACGGTGCAACATAGGAAGGTCAACTGACATAGGAGATAAAGGAATCCTGGCAAAAAGAAAGGGCTGATGGTGGAAAAGATTGCCAGAAGTCAGATTCTAGACACCACTGAAGAACAAATACACACTCATTCCTCTAAGCTGATTTCAGAGAGGTCCTCCCTGCTCAGGAACACATCCAGCTCTTTCTTCAAGGGTGTGATTACCAGGAAGAGATGACTGCACTTTATGAATAAGAAAGCTTCATTTGAGAAACAAAGATCCCACCAGCTATAACTGCAATAACAACCTTAACATTCAGCCGATGCCAGAGTGTGATTACTCTCAAGGAGGTTTGCCTAGCCAAATGATGACAGTCACAGATGGGCCCCGGGAAGGGGATCCAGCAAGATCCTTGGTGAGGTCCAAGCACATGAATGTGCACATAGCATCTTTGGATAGGGAACTTTCCTTCCCAATATTCCACTGCAAAATACGGTGGAGAATGAGCATCCTTCCAAGGCCAAAGAGGTTCTTGGAGAAGAACAAAAGCAATTAGGCAGAAAAGGCAAATCAGTCTTTTGGGTTTAAGATTTCCTCTCTGAGGTTATCTGGGATTAGGGAGTCTACTTGACTTTTGCTTGGACTGAGTAGCTTTAGGTTGCATTTTGATATGGTTTGGTTGTGTTCTCACCCAAATCTCATCTTGGATTGTACTTCCCATAATCCCCACGTATCATGGGAGGGATCAGGTGGAGATAACTGAATCATCGGGGTGGTTTCCCTCATCCTATTCTTGTGATGATTAAGTCTCACGAGGTCTGATAGTTTTATAAGGGGCTTCCCCTTTCACTGGTCACTCATACCTCTTCCTGCCACCATGTGGAGAAGGATGTGTTTCCTTCCCCTTCCACCATGATCATAAGTTTTCTGAGGCCTTCCCAGCCATGCAGAACTGTGAGTTAATTAAACATCTTTCCTTTATAAATTACCCAGTTTTGGGTATTTTTCCATATCAGCATGAAAAAGGACTAATACAGTAAATTCATACTTGGAGGGGAGCTACTATAAGGATACCTGAAAATGTGGAAGCGACCTTGGAACTGGGTAACAGGCAGAGGTTGGAACAGTTTGGAGGACTCAGAAGAAGACAGGAAGATATGGGAAAGTTTGGAACTTCCTAGAGACTTGTTGGATGGCTTTGACCAAAATACTGATAGTGATATGGACAATGAAGTCCAGGCTGAGGTGGTCTCAGGTGGAGATAAGAAACTTATTCGGAACTGGAGCAAAGGTGACTCTTGTTATGCTTTAGCAAAGAAACTGGCGGCATTTTGCCCCTGCCCTAGAGATCTGTGGAACCTTGAATTTGAGAGAGATGATTTAGGGTATCTGGTAGAATAAATTTCTAAGTGACAGATCTTCATGGCAGCCCCTTCTATCACAGGCCTGGAGGCCTAGGAGGGAAAAATGGTTTTGTGGGCAGGCTCCCCCTGCTCTATGCAGCTTTGGGACATGGTGCCCTGCCTTCCAGCAGCTTCTGCTCCAGCCATGGCTAAAAGGCACCAATGTACAGCTCAGGCCAATGCTTCAAAGAGTGCAAGCCCCAAGACTTGGTGGCTTACACATGGTGTTGGGCCTGTGGGTGAACAGAAGTCAAGAACTGAGGTTTGGGAACCTCTGCCTAGATTTCACAGGATGTATAGAAACAACTGGATGTCAAAGAAGAAGTTTGCTGCAGGGTCAGAGTCCTCATGGAGAACCTCTGCTGGGGCAGTGCAGAAGGAAAATGTGTGGTTGGAGTCCACACACAGAGTCCCTACTGGGGCACTGCCTAGTGGAGCTGTGAGAAGAGGGCCACCATCCTCCAGACTCCAGAATGGTAGATCTACTGATAGCTTGCATTGTGTGTCTGGAAAAGCCACAGAGACTCAACACCACTCCAGGAGGGGGGCTGTCCCCTACAAAGCCACAATGGTGGAGCTGCCCAAGGCCATGGGAGCCCACCTCTTGCATCAGGGTGCCCTGGATATAAGACATAGAGTCAAAGGAGATTATTTTGGAACTTTAATGTTTAATGACTGCCCTATTGGATTTTAGACTTGCATGGTGCCTATACCCCTTTGTTTTGGCCAATTTCTCCCATTTGGAATGGGTATATTTACCCAATGCCTGCACCCCATTGTATCTAGGAAGTAACTAACTTGCTTTTGATTTTACAGGCTCATAGGCAGAAGAAACTCCTTTTCTCAGATAAGACTTTGGGCTTGGACTTTTGAGTTAATGCTGGAATGAGTTAAGACTTTGGGGGACTGTTGGGAGGGTATGATTTTAAATTGAATTATGAAGACATGAGATTTGGAAGGGGTCCAGACAGAATGATATGGTTTAGCTGTGTCCCCACCCAAATCTCATCTTGAATTGTAGTTCCCATAATCTCCATGTGTTGTGGGAGGGACCAGGTGGAGATAATTGAATCATGGGGGAGTTTCCCCCATCCTGTTCTCATGATATTGAGTTAGCTCTCACAAGATCTGATGGTTTTATGAAGGGACGTCCCCCTTTGCTGGGCACTCATTCTTCTCTCTCTTGTTCCCTTGTGAAGAAGGATGTGTTTGGTTCCCTTTCCACCATGATTGTAAGTTTTCTGAGGCTTTTCCAGCCATGTGGAACTGTGAGTCAATTAAACATCTTTCCTTTATAAATTACCCAGTTTTGGGTATTTCTTCATAACAGCATGAGAAGGGACTAATACACATTTTATCTGGAGAAAGGAAAAACATGGGCTTTGCTGCTTCTTCTTTCCACGTTCACTAAAGATCTATTGCAGATACCTTCCCTCTTTATGTTTTGGAAGTAAAGACAATCAATAGTTTTTAGGATGAGAAACTGAATTCTTCACCTGGACTGCAAGGTCCTAAGAGGTGTGACACCTTCTTACCCATCCAAATCTTGTACTATGCTAGTACTATGTATCTATCCTTCTTCCAGCTCTGTCATCTTTCCATCACAGGGAAAGCTACCTGAAATGCCCTCCCCTTATCCTACAGATGGAGCCATCACTCCCTTGGGGATGTCTTCCAAGACCTCTCTGATGAAGCCATCTCCCACTATTATCTAAGTTGTCACAGGAACACAGGCTTTCCTTCATCTCCCTCATCATAGTCATTATACTCAAAGATTTGTGAACAATTGATGACTATCTGTTACTTTTCCAGGATCTAAGGTTCACAAGAGCAGCAACTGTATTTGTTTTGCTTATAACATTCTTCTCAATTACTAGTACTATATCTTGTACTAGGAATTGAGAACGATCTAATGCTGAGAAAATAGTTCAGGGTGACTGAGAGCTCACCTAGGCTTCATACAGCTCCTGATGCTGAAGGCAACCACTGGTTTAAGAAGGATGCTCACTATGTTCATGAGCATAGCATCTCGTATTAAGGCAAGCCCTTTAGGATGTGTAAATAAGTCTTTCCCAGCATGTCTCTAACATGAAGGGGATGGGAGAATGGATAGAAGGAAACAGGGAAAAACTAATAATATTCCTTGGGATGAGATCAAGGATGACTAACAAAAAGAAGGTAATTATAATAATGCCTACAAACTTGTATAATCTTTCTAGTTCAAGAAAGCCTCAATTATATTATCTCACTTGATCTTCATAATGCCAGAGGAAATAGGTGGATTATGAAGTTATATTGCCCGTTCAGAGCAGGAAACAAAGGATCATTGAAGGCAAATAAATTAGTCAAGGCTGGAAAATGGTGGAGCCTAGACTAGGACCCATATCTTCCAGAGCTGTGCTGTCCAACATGGTAACTATCGGCCATGTGGAACCACATATGGGTTATTGAGCACTTGAAATGTGGCAATTTAAATGAAGATATGCTGTAAATGTAAAATACCTACTCAGCCAAAGACTTCACACACAGATACAAGGATGCAACTTACCTCAATAATTTTATATTGCTTACACATGAAAATAATACTATTTTGGATATAGTAGTTTAGAAAATGTAATCATTAAATTGTTAATAATTATAATTACATAAATAATTATAATTAATGAATAATTGTCTGCTTCTTTTTTATTGTGGCTTCTAGAAAATTATCTAGTGATGTCTCTGGCCATATTTTATTTTTACTGGACAATATAGCCCTAGATTACAGCTCAGTACACCCATAGCTGCAGATTTTGAGTGGGATCTCGGACTGAATGGATGGTGAAGGCACTTTAGGTAAAATAGTGAGAACACAGGTGTAGAGATGGAGAATCATATGCTTTAGAGAAGTGGAGGCTAAATGTCTTATAGAAAATGAAACAGTGGAAGTACTTGAGAATTACATCGTGAAATACTGACTATACCGAAGTGGAATGAATGCTGTATTTCAGCTGAGAAAACAGGATTGTAGTCTTCTGATACTAGCTTGTTGTGTGAATTCGGACAGTTCTCAATCTCTGTTGCAATCTTCCTCTTTCTTTCTTCCTTGTTTTCCCCTTTGGTAAAATGAGGGGTTAAATCAGAAGATCTTGAAGGTCCTCCTCTTTCTAGCTTGCACCATCTAGGGCTTTGAGGGGGCAGGTTTTGCCTGTGTGAAGTGTGCGGGGGTGTGTACATGTAGAACAAGCATGTCTGAGAGTCCATCACAGTCAAAGCTGGGCTTTAGGGAGGTCCATCTAACACCTCAGAGCAGGTTGATGTGGAGTAAAATGAGACTGGAAACAGGACTGAGCAGAACTGAACCAAACTGAAATAATCAGCTGAAATCAATTTGACTTCTACGCTTACCAGGAGGGCAAAGTGAAGCACCACCCATACAACGCCAAGTGACGTCACCAGGAGATCGTATCGGTTTCTTCTGCTTTGCCAGAAGCCAGCAGGTGACATTGCTATGATCTTCATGGTAACCTGGAGAAAAAGCAAAGAAGAAAATAAACAGAGGGAGGGTTTAGCACATATTTAAATGTATTAATTTGAGATGCATTATGTGTATGTATTTTTTTTTCAAATGAAGAAAATTCTAAATTATTTGATGTGGACACAATATCTTTTTTATTGAAAATGAGACAAATACTTTAATGCCTTTTGAGGTTTCCTTTTAGGCCTACACTTTCTGTCTGTCTGTCTGTCTGTCTATTTATTTATTTATTTTTTATTATTTTTTGAGACTGAGTCTCGCTCTGTCACCCAGGCTGGAGTGCAGTGGCGTGGTCTTGGCTCACTGCAGATTCTGCCTCCCAGGTTCAAGCGATTCTCCTGCCTCAGCCTCCCGAGTAGCTGGGGTTATAGGCACGTGCAACCACTCCTGGCTAATTTTTGTATTTTTAGTAGAGATGGGGTTTTACCTCATTGGCCAGGCTGGTCTCAAACTCCTGGCCTCAGTTGATCCACCCACCTCGGCCTCCCAAAGTTCTGGGATTCTAGGAGTGAGCCAGCATGCTCAGTTATGCTATCTATTTAAAGAATAACTATAAACAATGTAGTAACTGAAAAGAAGAGTTTATTACCAAGATATATGATTTTATTTTTGAAGCTAAGTAGCTTACAAATATGTTCTTTACACTCTCCTCTGTTTTATGACTAGTTCTGATCATGGGACATTTTTCTTCCATAAGCAAAAGGCCATAGATTTTGGGAAACATCAACCAGTATAGGGCAAAATGAGAATCTGCTTGTATTTCAAGAAGATTGTCCTGGAAAGCAATATTATATGAATCACATGTTAAAATAACCTTGTCTGGGCCAACTTGCTTTGCCACTCTATTGCAATTTGAGTCAATGAATTATAGTGGCTTGCACCATTCCCTCTAAATATTAGAACTCGCATAACTAGACAGGCCAATGTTCAGACACAACAATCGACAGTAGCATTTCTGTAGTTAGAAAAATCTGATGGATAAAGTGATGTCTTTGTTCGAGTTAAGCAGAACCGCTTAAGAAGGAAATATCCTAAGGGCAAAGCTTCAAAGGCAATGGAACACAGAGAGGAGAGTAAGTGGCATCAAAGAGGGATGCTGATTTACTTTAAAACTGTGCACAGATTCCCCTAGAGCTAGCTGACTCATTACAGTACCTCCAGAACAAAGATGAAGGTGAAAACAACTGACATTGTTGCCAAAGGTACGGTCACCGGGTCCTCGACGTCCCACTGCAACAGAAACAGCGCACAAGTCATTGCCCACGTCCATCGGACACATACAGGCTTGCCCCTCTTCTGCCCACTTTGCCGTGACAGTGAATCTTAATTTTTATACCCAAGAACATAACTGTGAATGCATATAGCAGCTTGTGATACTCTCGGATGTAGCAGTGAATACACAATTCATTCCCGGAGCCTTAGGGTGAAACTAAGTACCTTGACAGAGAGCAACACCGACTGGGCCAGGACGAGTAATGCAATTGTCCTCTTAAAAAATGGATGCTGGGTTATGTCATACATTTTAGCTCTAAAACCATCATTATCTAGAAAAGAAAGGTTTGGGCAAGGGCATGTTAGACACAGGTCACATTTACTTTCTTGCCATTTATTTTCTTAAATGCTTATCTTAAAACCCATTACATTTTCCTCCCCAAACAATTCCATCTATTGTGAGGTGTTTTTGCAGCAATGGCTGGCTCTGAATATTTAAAATGACAGTGCATGACGCCGTCTATATTGGAAAGAGAAGTGCATCATTCAATTTCTGTCAGTTTAATACATTTCACTCATATTTTTAAAAGGCAAGCGCAAATATATTTTATTTAAAAAATTCATTTTTTCATTAAGGCTTAGTCTGAGAGCACTGAAGCACAGCTTTTGGGTGGTTGATTTTAATAGCCTTATGGAGAGATCTGTGGTTTGGAGGCTGTTTCCATATTAACTTATGCACAGCCTCCCAGCGGCCTCACGATTATTATTTTAATTTAAATCTGAGACTCCTGGGGAATCGTGCACACTAGTGCCCAACATGAATAAAATCAGAGCATCTTGGGTACCCGGGCGAGGTGGGAGATGAAGAGGCTGTGCGATCTTCAGTCGGCTCTTCAGGTCTTCCCATCTTCTCTGATCGACGGTCAGCAAAGCCGTCCCCTTAACAGACAAAGGAAAGCAGGAAACGGCCTTTTGTCATGTGCTTGCACCAAGAACATGGCAGATGGGGTGCAGAGACAAACAGGACTGATGTGGGGGCTTGCGCTGACCATGTTCTTCCAACCGTGGTGGTTAGAAAACATGGTCAGAATGCTCAAAGTTGGTCTTGGGAAGAGTTCCCAAAATGATGACCAGGTGTTTCAGAGAGAAGTCAGCAGCCTTCAACTTGTATCTTTGGAGATATGTAATATTCAGGTTTGGGAAAATATAAAGAGGAGTTTCTACATAATTACATTTTCAAAAAAGGACACTCACTCATAGTAGTTAGTTTCCTTTCATTTCATAGCAGCAAAATTATAGCTTGTCAATGCTATGGCTTCTAGTTAAGGGTATTTTGTCTTTCTTTAAAAAATGTCTAATATGTGCAATTGCAAAACTGTTTCTGAGAGATACTAAGTCACAGAGTTTGCATTTCAAGAAATTAGTGCTGTGATAACTGCCTAAATGGAATTCCATATTCTATATAATGGAGTACTTGATTAAAATGCATATGATAAAATTATATTTTATTGCACTGCAGTGCATCATATTTTATCATAACGGCAGAAGTGTAATTTTAAAAACTAGACAAAAACCCCACTCTCCCTTTTCTTACCCAGAGCTAACCACTACTCTTCAGGTGTGCATCCTCCTTACTATGTTTTCAGACTTTTGTGCTTATGTATGTATCAATACATAAGAATTTGTTTTGAATTTTTTAATATTATAGAAATGCTGTCCAATATGTGCTTATTTATGCTGTTTCTTTATACCTTCATTGAACAGTATACTTTCCATACAACTAGATTACTAGATCTAACTTGTTCAGCTGCTCACAAACACTGTCCACTGTACAAATATCATAATTTATTCATTTTACATTTATGGACTATAACCAGTTCTGCAATAAGCATCCATGTACTGTCTCACAGTAAATATCTATGAGGGTTTCTCCATTGTAAATCTCTAGGAGAAGAATTGATAGGATCTAGGAATTTAAACATCTTTACATTTACCAGATGTTGCCAACTTGCTTTCCAAAGAGCGATAACCAAAACAAATCTCCTACCAGCAATATAGGAGTGTTACCATATCTTAATATTCTTGCAATACTGGATATTACTAGACATTGTAATCTGACCACTTTGATAGGTGTGAAATGTATCTAATGTTGTTTTAATATTAACGAGATGAAACATTTGTATGTGTGTAAATGGTGATGCTTGTATCTTCCTATGTGAATTGCCTATTCATATCCTTTGCTCATTTTTGTATTTTGATATTTACTTTTTAATTGTTTGTAGAGATTCTTTATAAATGCTGGATACTAATCTTTTGTCAATTATATAAGTTGTAAATATTTTCTCTTAGTCTTGGCTTGTATTTTTATTTTGCTTAGAGTGTCTTTTGTCATTCAGAAAATTTTAATTTAAATATAATAGAGTTTATAATTTTTTTCCTTTGTAGATTTTACTTGGTGGCTAATGCGATGAAATCCATAATGACTCCAGGATAAAAAACAAATGCTTACTAGGGGTGGGGAGGGGAACTAGAATAGGGATAGTCAAATGTTGATTAACAGATACGAAAATACAGTTAGATTGCAGGAATAAGTTTTAGTGTTGCATGATAATATAGGGGGTGAATCTAATTGATAACAATTAATTGTGTATTTTTAAATACCTAGAAGAGAGGATTTTGAATGTTCCCAACACAAAACAGGGATAAATGTTTGAGGCGATGGATATGCTAATTATTCTGATTTGATCATTACACACTATAATACATGAATTGAAATATCACACTGTACCCCATAAATATGTACAATAACTATGTGTTGATTAAAAATAATAATAAAAGCAAAAACATTATTTGCTGCTTATCTGAAATTCAAATAAAAATAAATGCTGACATGGTTTAAAAATGGTTTAAATTTTGCTTTTCATATCGAAGTCTTTAATTCATCTGGGATTCATTTTTGAGTATGCAGTGAGGTAGAGATCTCAGCATAGCTCTTTACATCAATACAGTCAATACCCCCAACACCACTCCTTGTTGGTCTCACCACCCTCTGCACTAATTTGTTGAGCTGCTTCTGTTTTCTGCATACATGGGTCCCTGCTGGGTCTTTCTAGCTTTTTCTGTAAGTCTAATTTTCTATACCTATAACAATACTGACACTGTTTTAATTATCGTAGCTTACTTTCTTGTTTTCTGTTTTTATTTTTGCTCAACCTTCCTAGAGGTTTATTGACTTGATTAAAAAAAACAAAACCCAGCTTTTGTTATTCTTGAACGTTACAGAAGCTATACAAGTTTCCTCGCTTTCTGTATCATTAGTTTCTGTCCTCATCTTTGTTCTTTCTTCCCCCCTACTTTATTTGATTTTACTTTATTATAATTTATTGATTTGGATATTTGACATATTAATATTTAACTTGTGATTCTTCTCTAATATATACAACTTAAAGTGATACATTTATTTGTAATTACTGATTTATCTATACCTCATGAGTTTTTGTATATGACACTATAAACTGTTTTGTCTGTAAATATTTTGTGATTTTCTATTATAATTTCTTCTTTTTTTTTAAAATGGAGTCTCGGTTCGTCGGCCAGGCCGGAGGTCCGTGGTGCAATCTTGGCTCACTGCAACCTCTGCCTCCTGGGTTCAAGCCATTCTCCTGCCTCAGCCTCCCGAGTAGCTGGGACTACAGGCGCCCGCCACCTCGCCCGGCTAATTTTTTGTATTTTTTAGTAGAGACGGGGTTTCACCGTGTTAGCCAGCATGGTCTCGATCTCCTGACCTCGTGATCCGCCCGTCTCGGCCTCCCAAAGTGCTGGGATTATAGGCTTGAGCCACCGCGCCCGGCCTATAATTTCTTCTTTAACTCATAAATTATTTAGAGTATTGTCTTAATATTTCCAAATTGTAGAGTTTTTATTTTTCTCATTATGGTCAGAAAACATTCTTACATTATCAATTCTTTGGTAATTATGACTTTCTGGGAGATACATTTTGTGCTTGAAAATAATGCACGTTCTCAAATTGTTGGAACTAGAGTTTTCCTTATGTGTTCATTTGATTGTGTTTATTGTATCAAATCTCATATTTCCTTTTATTCTTCTCTGAATTATGAGATTTTTTGAGAAATATGTTAATATCTTTCACTATGATTTTGGATTTTCTAGCTTCTTTTTACAACTTGGTTAATTTTTGTTTTGTATATTTTGAGATTCGGAAGTTCTATACCTTTTCCCAATAATAGTGTTTAAAATTGTTCTTTTCTGATAATCACATTGCTAAACCACTTTTCTCACTAATTATAAACAAACAGATGTTCTCTAGCCACCATAGACGTTAATGGAATTACTTTGTTAAACAAAAAAATAATTTTGGAAAGTTGAACTCTGAAAGGATCTAAAAGAATAAGCATGGAGGTATCATCTGATCATTAATATATAAAAACCTCTGAAAGTTTATTATTGTCGAATTAGGTTAATAAATCAAACACATTGTCTTATATAGTAGAGCAATCAGAAAAAATCTATATTACTCGTATAGACTTGGAACTTTTTAAAGAGGTTTCCATTTTCAAAAGAAGACATTTTTTGCATGATTCTGAATTGTACCCTAAAGATTCCCTCATTTTCTATCTCTGTTGTCTCTATATTTGGAAATTTACCTATGTGCCTTTGGGTATGACTACTAAGATGTGTGCTCCATGAGGGCAAATAACTTTTCTGTGTTTAGTGTTTCAGTTAGTTTGCTAGGTCCTCAGTGTCAAGAGCAGCATCTGGCACCTAGCAGATGCTCAAATACATCTGTTGAATGATTGAATAGTATATAAATGCTGTTACATGGCAGCTCATGAGCTGCTTTCTAAAAAAAAAAAAAACTTGCAGAGAAATAAACTTTTCTAAAAGCCTCACATAATTTAGCAATTGATACCTCCAATTAACAAATCAAGTTTGTAAAGCTTGGTAATATAATTTCTTGTCAATTTCTTCTTTCTTTAAGTGCCCATTTGAGCTGATAGAACATACACCCCAGATCCCCAAACAGGCCAAGTTGCTCTTTCCTACCTGCAGAACATAAATACAGTGCTGGATGGAGACCTCCCTGGTTATTCTACTTACCTCAGCCACTTCTCTAAGCTCAAGTGTTGCAATTAATTATACATTTATTTCCAGTTCCTGAACATTTTATGTTGTTCTATGTATGTTGCTGAATTGTGAGCTGTGATACGTTCTAATCTTCCTGAAATCAGGTGCCTGCTCAGAGGGCTTCTTAACGGTGTTCTGGGCAAGCAGTGCCTAAACTCTCCTGTTAATTGACTGATTAGCTTCTGCTTATGTTCTAGAATTCTCAGTGTCTGCTGCATTACGTGGCTCAAACGCATCTAAAAAGACCCTTCTTCCTCTTTCTGCTTGGTATTAAACTAAACACTGTAGGGCTCAAAGCATCTCATTAATGAATGGGATAGGAGTAAAATAAGGGGCTGGGTGACACAATCACTACCGTTCTTTCTGTCTCTAACATCCCATGTTTCTGAGGGTCCAAGTAGAGTCGGGGCCCAAAAGAGGAATTTTAAAATCTCACCCTTTGAAAGCCTGAATGAAATGACATGCTCATTAGCCACACATCAAAGGTGTCAATTGACTGGGTAACTGGTACCACACACGTTGAGCCTGAGGACAGTGAATGACAGATACAGTCCCATGTGTAGCAACAGAAACTGAAGAGCTCTGATGTGAACGCGTGGGAATCAGTCCTAGCCGTGAATAACACCGAACAGCACGGTGCTTTACAGGCAGATGTAGTGTCAACTTAATGCAGAGTGAAGGCTGACTTTATGATACTCATGCCTTCGAAGAATCACAGAGCCTGCAGTAAGTAATAGGCACCAATTCTGAATTCTGGCCCTGTTTATCATACCTTTTAAGCCTCAGACTAGTCATTGCTTTTCCTGCAACCGTGTATTTGAGAGTTGTGAGAATTGACTGAATATATAAAATCTTAGTACACAGTGTGTGCTCAAAAACTGCATGCATTTCTCTTACTATGATTCCAAAGACTGCCTCTCAAACAATAAAGGGCACAACACAGGTGCCTAGATGAGCAAGTACCTCTCCAAGGAGTGCTAATAGAATGTTCTTCCCCAAACTCACGCTTTGATAGGAAACTACATTGTTGTTTTCCCATTTGTGAGTCTTTGTTCTAATCATTAGAGCTGTTACAAACTCAACAGGCTTCCCGAGTTCACAAAGTATGTCAAGTTCATATGAAATTAGAAAATCTTTTTTTTTCTCTTTTTTCTTTTTTTTTTTTTTTTTGAGTCTCGCTCTGTTGCTCAGGCTGGATGCAGTGGTGTGATCTTGGCTCACTGCAACCTCCGCCTCTTACGTTCAAGCAATTCTCATGCCTCAGCCAACCCAGTAGCTAGGATTACAGGCATGCATCAACACGCCTGGCTAATTTTTGTATTTTTAGTAGAGATAGGGTTTCACCATGTTGGCCAGGCTGGTCTTGAACTCCTGACCTCAAGTGATCCACCTGCCTTGGCCTCCCAAAGTGCTGGGATTACAGGCGTAAGCCGCCATGCCCTGCCACAAAATCTTTTTTCTGTGAATTAGGATTTTAAAATTTCTACCAGATTCCCCTCATCCCCATCAAAATTCTGAGTTCACCTACTGAGTTACACAGAAGCATACAATTTACATTTAGTGAAAGTAATATTACCTGTAATTAGTGAATCACTTTCATCTATTGTATTTTAATAACTTGCTGCACATCTTTTCACTTTGAACAATAGGAGATGCGCCTCTCAGTTGTCAGTGAATTAATGACACTGTTACCAAAAGGGTAAATTTAGCGAGAGAACTGTACTCTTAAATGATGGTCTGAAAAGCAGCAATAAGGTTGCTTGTAAAACAGTTACAGAGATTATTTACACCAGTCACATTACAGTTTAATGCGGCTTCATGCTGCGTGTGAAAAGAAAAAAATAGCTCAAAGTAAGAGGCTAGAAAAGGCTAAACCCCGTGGTATCCAAACCAAAAATTCTTACCTTGTTTTCATTGAAATTAGCAATAACTACTCCAACAAAAAGGGTCAGTCCAATCATGCAACCCAGGAATACAAAAACATGAATATAGATTCCATGGATCTGCATAAAGGAAAATACGGTTATTCATCAAGACAAATGAAAGCTGCTCTTGAAGTGTTCAAAGGATTCGATGTGCTTGCTTACCGGCCCCACACGATGAATAATAACATCCCTCACTTCCACCCAGCCTTTCAAGGAGAGAACTTCAAACAATGCCAGCATAGCGTTTCCCACATTGTCGAAATTAAAGTTCCGAGGATTTGCCCTGCAATTCCAGCACAGGAATGTTCTGTGAAATTCCAATAAGAAGCACCCGAGGCAAATATCTGTAGCCCTTTCCAGTCATGGGTGTGGGATATGTGTGGGATATGCACACACACACACATATACACACACACATCTGTGTGTATATGTATACACTCACACTTTTATACTATATGGCATTCAGTTGCTAAATCATAACAATGCATTGATGTGTTATTATTGTGTTCATTAGGTAATGATGGGGTGATCTCAATGTAAAGCAGCTCCAGTTCTAGCTTCAGAGGTTCTGCAACATTTCTACCTTGTCGTGATTACCCTGAGGACTGGACAGATGATTTTATCGATTTACACAAAGAAGCACTGGATTTTGGATGTGGATTTTGAAACAGTTTTGTAACTGAAAACCTTTCTAAAGGCATAAATTACAATTGCCTGCGTTAGTATAGAAAGCGTAGAGTAGAATTTAGTCATTTTATTTCACTTCGTGTCGTCATTGTGAACACAGGGCCATAAAGTAGTGATGCATTTAGAGGTCACTGAGACAGCAAGAGGTGTTTGCTTGTAGTCTGTATTTTTCCAAATTACTGTCTTCCAGTTGGATTGTTTTTCTTATTAACTCTGAGTCTTCTCAGTGGACTCTTAGTCTGGTCCCCTTTACGTGTGGTATGCTTTCTACCTCCACCGCTGATTCCTGATTCCTGAACTCATTGGCTTATTATTCATTTTCTTTTTTCTTACAGATTCGGGGGGTACGCATGCAGGCTTGTTACATGGGTGTATTGCATAATGCTGGGATTTGGGCTTCTAATGAACCCGTTACTCAGATAGTGCGCACAGAATCCAACAAGTAATTTTTCCAACCTATGTCCTCCTTCCTTCCTCCTCCCGTTTGAAGTCCCCACGGTCCGGCATTTCCATCTTTATGTTGATGTGTACCCACTGTTAAGCTCCCACTTTTTTGGGGGCCAGGGATGTCTCATTTCTTCTTCTTTTAACATGGTTATACTTTTCTCTTCCCACTTATAAAAGTGATCCTTTTTACTAGAGTGTACCTTCTTTAATTGTTATGGTTTTAGCTAACATTTTTGTTGTTAATAGAAGGTTTCAGTGTTTTTTTTTTTTTTGCCCCCTCTTTCCTTCTTATTAGAGACTAATTTTAAATAACTAAGATATTCACAACCAAACACTGGAAAATCATGGACTATATTTCCTGAATTTAATGAAGAACTGAGCTCTGGACCATTGACTAGAGTAGGCCCCGTGGAGTCTATTTAAATTACATTTTGATCATTTTTTCCCCCTGCTAGCTCATTTCTCAAAATTTAACCCTCATGACAGGCAACGCTCTGGGGAAAATCTGGTTCTGCACTTTTCTACCATCTTTCGTGTTTTTTAAACTATAGAGACAATCACAAGATGTGCCTTCATAAGTTTTTTGAATATTAAATAGATGAGGATATAAGAAGAAAACATTAAACTGAAACTGATTTGCTCTTAAGGGCCTAGGGCTGATTAGTGGAGATGGTCTTTAATATAGTGCAAAAGCCCCACTCAGAAATTCATATTTTGGAATTCTGCTTTGTATTTTTTATGTATGAAAGTACAAATATATTCTTTTGGATGCTTCCAACAATCTTTCCTTTGGGATGTTTCCACTAAATTTCATATATTTTACAGTAGACAGAAGTTATAAGGATTCTACAGACGCCACAGTTTTCTTGAATAAGGATTTTTTAAAACCAAGTGAACCAGTTCTCAGAGCTGATGCTGGACTTCCGTACCTGCTCATTTTTTGTAGAAGTGCTTTCTCAGCTGAATTTGCAACAACTTAAACTACTTTTATGTTCCATATCTTCTAGAAGTTAGAATATGTGAAAAATACTCTAACTAAACCAAGAAAAACAAAATGTAGCATCAAAGACTTCAACAGTTGGAAGAATTTATCACATTTTTAAAAATAAGTCTTTTTCAGTTTTAATCATGTAAGGTGTTTTCTTATGCTTTGCTCGTGTTAGCAAAATTGCAAAGTTTGAAACTTTACCTATAACTACGGAGTCCTTCAATAAATCCCAAATGTCATCCATTATTGCCATTTTTACCTGCTACCCTTCCTTGAATTGAAAAGGTTGTCATTCTTTTCTAGTTAATTTGTGAAATACTGTAATCTTGCCTGTCCAATTCAGAAAACTAAGACATTAGTTCTGACCACATAATTTTGTCAGCTTTTTAACCTCCCAGAGGAGGTGCTCAAAGCCCCCCAAGATCATGGTAGGGAGAGCTGCTCTTCCCTTGAGGAACATGGGGGCACCCTGAAGACATGACTGAGCCTCTGCCCTTGGATGTGGAAATGCAGAAAACGACTTTGTCCAAAAACAGCATGCTGTATCTTACACAACCATCTCTCCTAAAAGAAATCAGAAACGTTCAGCTTCCTACAGCACCCCAACCCTTTTTGCCTTTAGCTTTGGCCATAGAGTTGCCTTAACTTGTAATACCAAATCTATGCCTAGACTTTCCTCTTCATCTGCCTCTGACCCTGCCCCCTTCACCTGGCTAGTTCCTATTGGTTGTCCTTCAAAAGGTAACCTAGTGTGTCTTCTCGTCTGGTCCTTCTCTTTGGCCTTGTATAGTTGGGGTTAGGTGCTTCTCCTGTGTGTCCATTGTACCCTTAGCCTTTTTGTAGGAATCAGAGGCAGGAATACCATGAAGCCAAAGAAACCTAAGTGGTAGGACCCCGCTTTTGTACAGGCCCTTCCAAGACCCTGGTACCCCAAATTGTTTTGGCCTTAGACCCTATAAAACCTGATCACCTTCTGCCTAGAATGTATCACAGTGTAGCTTAAAATTACATGGAGATGAGTTTCGGGTGAGCCAGAGGTAAGCTGAGGGGTTTATCTGTGCAGCATTAAAGCCCTTAACATATTATATAAAATTATTTGTAGTTTTATTTTGTTTACCACTAGACTTTAAGCTCCTAAGGGGTAGGGGCCATAGCTTATTCAGGGTCATATCACAGAGACAAGCATACTACCTGGTGAATAGCAAGCACTCAATAAATACATTTATTATAAGCCTGAATACTTCGTTGATTTTTCTCTCATGCATGCCATTTTCCTATATTCCAGACCTCTTCTTAAAATAAGTCACACCATATTTATAATCTATGATATGTTTAATCCTTTTTACTGAGGTGGCTCATCAAGTCTGAGTGATTCAGAAGAAAGTACATTTATTAATCTGAAGAGAGAGTATTGAAACTAGACTGTCTCTGAATTAGTGCATATTTATGTCCTAATTATAATTACCAAAGCATTCCTCTAGGGGTATTCCTAGATATGTTATTTCCTTAATCATAATTTAGCCAATATAAAATCACAAAATTTCAGCTTCTAACTCTTGATTAGCTTACTAAAGAAGGAAAGTGTAAAAAGTTATCATGGTTACAGATGACATTTATTAGATCAAAGGTGTCTATTTCACTACAATCCAAGTCACATGATCCTGGAGAAATGGACAAGAGCAATTGTGATGATGTTCAAGGAATGCCTATTTTCTTATGCTTCTAGAATGGCATTGCCTTTGAAACCCCTAATAATACCTTCCATAAAATATTGCATTTAAATTAACTTCGATTTTAAAAATCCCATGGAACTGGTTTTATGGAATAGGTTGAGTGCTATAGGGTACAACTGGCAGGTTTACTTTTCTCCAAATGTTAGCTTCAAGTGTGTTCCAGCTCCCTTTCTGAATTCTTGCAGAGGTCCCAGAGCTTTTTGGTCATTTTCAGTCATTCAGCTTTATATCCAACTGATCTTATAACTCATATAACAATCCCATCCTTACAGCTCAAGGACCCTGGTTTGAGGAAAGGAAGAAAAGCTGGCCACTTTCTTCACTTCCACTCCTCCTCTTCAGGCCACCACAAGATTCTCACATGGCTGAGGTGGGATGTCATTGAAAGAAATGGAGGAATGAAGTTAAAGTCTTGTGCAACCGATACAACTGGATTCTGGCCATAGGTGTTCAAGAGTTTGAATCCCCTCCCCAGCCCAGGAGTGCCTCATTGTACCTTTCCTCCTGTGAGTGTGCAGTCCCTGGGTCACTCTCAGGTCTGGCTCCTGGAAACACACCTACGAACTCCTTGGATGGGGGTACCCTTTCCCAGCACAAAGCCCTTTGCAGCAGGGCTCAAGAAGACTCAGATGATGTGGTCCTAGGCAGTGACTACTGGGCTCTCCAGGAACACCAGATAACCCTGCTCTCCAGATGGTGATAAGCAGCCTGGCCTACAAGAGTCTCTCTTCTTGCCTTGCCCGTCTCTGATGTTAAGTGATCCCCCTGGGGTACCTCACTTGGCAGAGGTGGGAGGCATCCTCCACCTTTCTCTATAGTGAAGGAATGAAATGCCCCAGTGTTCTCTATTCCTGACTTCATTTACTTCCATATTATCTTTGAATTAATGAAAATTAATTAATAAATTATAACAAATAACTATGCTATAATTAATTTTTGTTTCATGGAAGTAAATTTTTATGCTTTTTAAATTTTTGTTTCAGTGGAAATTGGATGGCTTTTCTAGTTAGCAGTGAGGCGAGGATATTCTCATGTCTCACATTTCTCTCTCCAAGCTGAAGCCACATACCCTAAATGAACCCTTTTTCTTAGTTCTTGGATATTTTAAAAAATAAAAACCCAATACACATTATATTGGATTATATATAAAAGCAAATTTCATATTAGAAAAATGCCACAGAAAGGTAACAGTGAGTTCTAGGGTACAGCTGGGTGAAATGCTATTCCTTTTAAAGAGTTTTGACATTTAGAAAAGAACATCAATTGTGACAAAAGCAGAGTTGCTGTGGCTCAGTTGTTATTCTAAGAAATTTTCTAAAAGAAAATTTAAAAAACAGATAACAATTTCAAAGGACAAATAAAGCTGACAGAACACTAAATTCGTTAATGACACAGACTGAGAGATCCACTCATGGTCATTAATAAAACAGATGAGACAGAAGGTACTAGGTATATCTAGCTTTGATCTAAGTGCTTCCGAAACTCAATTTCAAGAAAAAGGAATATTAAAGGGAAAGTTAGAAGCAATCGACTTTGTAACTGATTATTCCTCTCCAGTGTTTGAATAATGGAAATCCTTCAGTGTAAATGGGTTTTAAAATGGAAACAGCTTTATGATTTAGGGTTCTATTATGAGGACATCAGATCCTCCTTTAAAGATAGAAACTCAGGATAAGTTCAGTTTTAATTTGACAGAAAATCCTTTGTTAAGCCTCGCTAATTTTTAAAGCCATTTGAATCCAGATGCATATTTTTGAAGTATTAGAAAATACTGAGATAATATTTCTCTAGTTTCATGAAGCTATGCAGAACTCAGTGTACTACTTGCTCTCTTATTTACCTGATTTCTGTCTTCCAGTATAACCTAGCGTTTCACCCTGTATGACTTAAGATCATTTTCACATCTCTAGCAAAATTACTTTCAGTTACATGCCTTATTATACTTATTTAAAGCCTTATATTGAAAAACACAGCATTCTCCAGAATATTTTTTTTCTAATATACTTACCAAACACGGGGAACCCAAAATCCAGGCTTTTTCTCTCCGGGCCTCAATTTTAAATTTAAGTTCTTTGACACACTGACATTAATTCTGAATATGCCATTGCAGTCTTCCTAAAGTAGAAAAACAAGGGGAGAGGGGGAACCTGGTCAGAAAATGAACTCAGAAAAGATAAAGGATAGGAAACTCTTTCTATCTTCTTTGATAGGAATACCAAAAGTCCTTTATCTAACAACAGTGATGTGGACAGTCACCCAGCAAATAATAACAAAGACTTTGGAGACAGGCAGTTAAAAGTTGATGCTGAGAATATTAGTTAAACAGGCAAAGGACCTGAGTAGACATTTCTCCAAGGAAGATATGAAAATGGCCAAAAAGCACAAGACGAGATACTCAGTATCATACGCCACTGCCATCAGGAAAATGTAAATCAAAACCATAATGAGATATCACCTCACACCCACTGAGAAAGCCATAACCAAAAAGTCAGATAACAACAAGCATTGGCCAGGATGTGGAGGAACTGCAGTCCTCTTACTGGAACCCTTACATACCGAGGCGGGTGTAGAATGGTGCGGCCACTTTGGAAAACAGTCTAGCAGGTCCTCAAACCACTAACACAGAGTTACCATATAAGCCAGCAACTCCACACTCCTAGGTATCTACCCAAGAGAAATGAAAATGTATGTCCCTATAGAAACTTGTACAAAATGTTTACATAAGTGTTTTTCACAATAGCCAAAAGGTGGAAACAATCCAGATGTTCATTTTTGAACAAATAGATAAACAAAAGGTGGTCCAGCCATACAAGTGAGTATTATTCAGCCATAGGAAGGGATGAAGTCCTGATACCTGCTACAACATGGATGATCCTTGAAAATATGCAAATTGAGGAAAAAAGTCACAAAAGACCATATGTCATAATTTTATTCATATAAAAGTCCAGAACAGTAAACTCTGTAGAGACAAAAAGAATATTGGCTGTTGTTTAGGGCTTGAGGTGGAGGCTAGATAAAGAGATGGGGGTAACAGTTAAGAGATACACGGTTTCTTTTTAAGGAGATACAAATGTTCTAAAAGTGGCTGTCGTGTATACAACTCCGTGAATATGCTAAAAAATCATTGAATTGTACACTTCAAGTGGGTGTACTGCGTGGTATGTGGATTACATCTCAATAAAACTGTTAAACGGATTTTTAAAATTAAACATCCATAGGAAATTTTTGACCCATTTCCTATTCTCCCTTTGGTTATTTTTGTTTCTTTGGCCATGATGGTCATATTTTGAACTTAAATCTCTTTTCTGGGTTCAAGGTGTAGATGATAAAATTCTTGATCACCGTTTGAATATTTCAACAGAAATTCCATTTTAATCTGCTTAAAGCCTTCTTTGACCCTAAACCATGTCTCCTCTTGGCCTCCTCCTTTGTGTCCCTGGACCAGCATCCTGGCAGTAGCCCAGCATCAAGCTTAGGGTTCCCTCGGCTTTCCCTGTCCTTCCTGGCCCACGTCTCCATTCTTACTACGATGAGTTCAGTAATGCCAACATTACTTCTTTCTGGATTATCAGCACAATTCTTTAAAATAAGAACATTTAAGTGCAAATAACGCATCTTTAATTTATAAAGCCTGGACAAATAAAAGGAAGAAAACTTACCTACAATTGCCCACAGACAAACACGATGAACATTTTGGCGTATACCTTGCCAGTCTTTCTTCCTGTACGTATCTGAGCTCATAAAGTTTTCATTCTTCCATCACCCACTTTTTTCAGCTAAAACTTTATTGTGATTATCTTTCCATAACCATACCTTTTTACGTAGAACATTATTTGAAAAGGCTGTGTTGTAGTGTATTATATAAAGGTCCCTTGACTATTCAGCCTCACCGCCTTTTCCAATCTGTCTTCCTGAACCCACCTGAGCCCATCTTTGATTGCATGAAGCAGTCTGGTATCTTGGTGAAAACCCAGGGTGCCTGGACACTAGTTCCCTGCTTCTCCACTTATTAGGTGGGTGACCTTGGACAAATTATTTAATCTTTCTACACCTGTTTTCCTCATTAGGATATGGGTAACAAAAACAGCACTAGGAACAGTGCTTTGTACTTTGTGGGCACTAGGACGTGTCTGATTCCTCTTCTTACCAACCTTTTGTGGTTTCTCTTCTCATCAACAAAATTCCAAACCCCTTAGCCAGGCATTTCAGGTGCTTGAGGATCTCTCCCTAACTTACATTTCTGGCCTTGTTTTTCAGTGTTTTCCTACATGGGCGGGAATGAAATTAACACTCACAATTGAGATTGGGTTAGGTACTTTGCATAAACAAGGTAATCTAATCTTCACAATATCATTGTGTGAGAAGCATTCAAGGCAGACATAGGTTTGGAAGGATTAAGTGACCAGACCAGGCCACCACCTCTCCTAAAGTAGGATTCCAATCTCAGAAGCTGTGATTTCGAAGCCCATGCTCCTTCCTCCTTGTTCTCTCCCTGCCTCCACACTGTGACTCTTCTTCGCATGCTCTGTGTCTTTCTTCACTGCTTGCTCTGCTTGGAAGGTCCTTTCCTACTCATCTCAAATCCTGCCTCCTCCCTGGAGCCCTCCCAGCACAGTACTCCCAGTTGGAAGCACAATTTCCCATGCTGACATCATAGATTCCACGTTATTTCTGCTTCTCATAGGCTTCTGAAAACTGCTGACTTTATATTACTGTTGCTTGAACATGAAACACATGTTCTGATTGGACAGAAAATGCTGCAAAACAGAAGCAAGGACCTCCTAATGTTTCCATTCCACATTTCATTTCACCTATCACAGATAGGTATTGGACACAACTGATAGTTCATGACTATTTGTCAAAAGGTATCCTCAGCGTTTGTTTACAGGGCTTTGGTGACTAAGTCCTAGGCTCCATATCTACGACTATATTGATCTCATGCCATCTGTTGAGTTTTAAGAAAACAAACAAAGGAGCAGAGGGAGGAAGTGCTCAGCCTCCTACAAAAAAACATGTTTTCCCAACTGGAAACTATGGGCGCAGCAACTCAAGCTTCGCTGTCTTTAACAGGAACTGTGTGTGATCTAAATGTCGGCGTATCTACTCTCCCCTTTTCTTTGGATTTATCTCTTCTTTTAGTAAGATGGGTTGAAGTCCTCCGATAGAACTGACGTCACCTTTGCTCATATGGCGTTCTTGGCCTTGGCCTCTTATGGACTCAAGCCCCATCTCACCATGCCAATTTCTTTTCAATCATTCTGCTTGGTGCTGGTGCTCTCTGTGATGGCTAAGTCTCCTTAGGCTTTCCATCTGAGCCTTGCACAGACCTCACTGCTCTAGGAAACAGGATAAATGTTTCATGAAATCTGTGTCTACGCTCATCTGCTGGCTGCTGTCACCATCAATCTTCAGCTTTGGCTGGGGATGACTAGCTAATGTAAAATCACCATGCTCTTAGGCCACTGTTAATATACTGAGTCATCCAAGATTCCTAGCAGGCTTCATCCTGAAGTGTTGGTATTATCTTTCTGGCCTCTGTTCAGTGTGGATCGAAAATCACTCTTCTTTCCACACACAAGCTTGTGGATGTTTGCGTCAGGTCTCTGTCACTTTCTTTATCAGCTAATTTGATACAGCATGACCGTCAGGCCACATTCCTTGTTCTGTCTTCTGAGATTTATCAAAGCTCCTGGAATCTCTCTCCCAGTCTGGCCTTTGTTTCAAATTCTCATTATTAATATAATTTATAGTGTATTTTGGCTGGACAAAGATATAACCTGTATTTTGTAACAATTAGAGAACAATTTGTAACATTTAAAATCTGTATTAGATACCCATATTTGCTGGAAATATATAATGTAGTTCAGGTCTAGTAGGCCTTTTGAAGATACACATTTAGGAACTAAGGCATCATTTTATTGGGATCAAAGATAAAATACTTTTCTAGTTTACACATCAGCAGTAGTTGGATTACTTTATTAATCTATTTGTAACATAAGAATCCTAAGAGAATGGGACACAGTATGATATTGCAAAAATTGTCTAATTATTAACTAAACTGTGTCCCCCCCCTTTTTTTTTCTGGAATACACAACTAAATTCCAATCTCCCTTGCAGTATCCCTGCTCTTCACAGAGGAACATGGGTGCAGAGGATTCTCCCACAGCCCATTCAGATGGAGATGGCTCTCCACTCTTATCTCCAGCTCACTGAAGAAGGCTCTGAAGACATGGGAAAGGGTGGCGACACAGGATAGAAGGCATGTGAGTCCCTGAGTGGTCATTTGGAGGAGAGCTGTATATATCGTATATATCGCAAATGTATATATTGCAACTGATCCAAGATACAATATATACATTTCATTATGTGAAGTTACCGAAATATTGGGCTTACTACAGCAGTGAGCCTCCCCTTATAACCAATGACTGAAGAAAGAGAAAGAAACGCTGTGGTGCAAGTATTCAAGTTTGGGTCTTTGTGGAGGTCCTTGTTGGTTGTCATAAAGAGGGAGACTCTGGGCAGCCAGAGCTAATATAAAAGCACTGGCTTTCTAATGGGGAGAAAGCTGGAGTGGGAAAGCAGTAAAAAGGGGTGAGAACCAAACGCTGCCTCTTGGACATTTTTGCATGGGCTGTTTGCTGATATGAGTCTTATATGACAACAAAGGAAGGATCAAGTTAGCTAAGACCTCAAGGGAAAGTATCTGAAGCTCACAGCTACAATAGCTAGAATCTTGGGTGACCACGCTCAAGTTGTCAGCAGTGGATTGGCACTGGAATAGAAGGGAGGAGTGACATTCTCTGAGGTGTGCTTTTCATCTTATTAAACTTTCTAGCCAGAAGAGACATATCGCATGTTAAGCAAAAAGGAGTTTGTGGGAGGAGAATTCTTAGAGTTGTATAGGGAGTTCTTAAAGTAGGCTTGGCAGCCACTGGTACCACATATTTGCCAAGGGAGTGTAAACTACCTTTTTTTTTTTCTTTTTAGGGACAGGGTCTCTTGCTCTGTTGCCCAGGCTGGAGTTCAGTGGTGTGATCATAGCTCACTGCAAACTTGACTTCTTGGGTTCAAGTAATCATCCCTCCTCGACATTCCAAAGTGCTAGGATTATAGGCACATGCCACCACACTTGACCCTTAATTTTTATTTCAAAAGACAGAAAGGTACATCTTACCCTTCTAATAATGTTGGGATCATTGCACTTTGCCAGTTTTCCAGCAAAAAGCTGAACTCCAAAGCTTGCAAAAACGAGCATTAATGTCAGCAAAAGAATGGAGACCTGAAAGAAATTGATGAAACGTTAAATCTCTTGGTAAAGACTAAATATTAGGTTTGGTTTAAACAGTGACATAAATAGGAATTTTAAGATAACATTGTATAAAAATCATGGGTTTTTGATGATATATTTTAACTTTTCCACCAGAGGCCATATAATTAGCCTTACTGGAAGGTCAAAAGGAGAAAATTAACAAGATTTGAATTTTTAAAATGGAAACATGAATTTCATGTAAGAAAATGGAATAAGGTATTTTTGAAATGGCTTGAACTTCTCTGATTTTAAAATCAACACCTTGCTCTTTTTTATTTAATGGAAAAGAAGAAATGTTTAAATAATTTTATTTTGTCCATTTTTCTCCCAAATGGATGTGTGTGTATATACACACACACACACACACACACACACACACACACATATATAATAATTATTATTATTTTTTGAGATGGAGTGTCACTCTGTCGCCCAGGCTGGAGTGTAATGGCGCAACCTTGGCTCACTGCAACCTCCACCTCCTGGGTTCAAGCAATTCTACTGCCTCAGCCTCCTGAGTAGCTGGGACTACAGGCACCCGCCACCACGCCCAGCTAATTTGTGTATTTTTAGTAGAGACAGGGTTTCATCATATTGGTCAGGCTGGTCTTGAACTCCTGACCTCAGGCAATCCACCTGCCTCGGCCTCCCAAAATGCTGGGATTATAGGCGTGAGCCACTGTGGTCGGCCTGGATTCATGTTTTTATTAGCAGAGCACAAATGAGCCGGACAGTGGCTTAGCTGTCTTGTAATCGTGAAGGTGTGCATTAGAAGAATGTTCTATGCACAGAGGAAAGGAGAGAATTCAGTCTTGAAAAGCAAATCTGTTAATTAACTCATGCTCCCTCTGCTGGCTGACTTCTTTGGTCTCAGCAGAGAAGAGTGACAGAGGGTAAAATTTGGGACAAGTGAACTGCACTTGTTGAATAACCTAAACATACACCTAAGTATACTAAAATCACACTGACCACCATCAGGGAAAGGCACAAATTCTCCTCTAAAATTTATTAGTGATCAAAAGATTCATGTACATTAGTCGTCAGGTGATACTTTCTTTTAATTCCAGCTGTGTGAAGAGCCACTGTTTTATGGTTTTGCATAAAGAAAACAAGAATTTTTAAACACATCTTAAAAAAAAATCAGCAATTGGGAGACTGAGGTGGGTGGATCTCCTGAGGTCAGGAGTTTGAGAGCAGCCTGGGTAACACGGTGCAGCCCCGTCTCTACTAAAACGCAAAAAATTAGCTGGGAGTGGTGGCACATGCCTGTAGTCTCAGCTACTTAGGAGGCTGAGGCATGAGAATCTCTTGAACCCAGGAGGTGGAAGTTGCAGTGAGCTGAGATTGCACCATTGCACTCCAGCCTGGGCGACACAGCAAGATTCTGTCTCAAAAAAAAAAAAAAAAGAAAAAAAACCAGCAATGATATACCTCTAGTAACATCACAATCTATCTCTAAAATACATTCGTATCAACCACAACTAGAGCTGTTTTCTCATTACAGGTATGTCTCTAGAAAGCAAGATCCAAAACGAGCCTATGTAAATTAACTCATGCTTCTCATGCACAAGCAGACCTCATCAATAATAAAAAGAATCTTTTGATCACTGTTTTGTAAGGCAAAGCTCTTTCTGTAACAGATTGTGAACAATGAGCCTCTTTCTTGTTGTTTTATCTCTGGCCTTGTTTTCAGAAGACCCTAAATCAACATTTGCCCAGCTAAAAAGTACGTTTTGCCCACTCAATCATCTTTGTAATCACTCATTACTGTAATGCTGAAGTTACTTAAAGTGGGTTATACCTATATGTTGCATTTTTAAAGTTGTTTCGTGTTAACACTCCTGAGATCTAAAGAAGAATTCTGTGCTGTACTCTTTCAAGAACACACAGAATGAAATTAGGAGCCCAAATGCATGAATTCCTAATCCCATTTGTGGAGTACACGGTGTTGAATCTTCTTATCCTTCATTTTCAGATGGGAGGAAACTAAAACCCAGAGTATAAATTAGAGTCAAGAGGTAGGACTGAAAGAGTCAGCAGATACGAACTCTTTCAAATCTCAGAGTGCTTCTCTTTAGGTGAATTAAATAAACTCCCACGCCAGAGGTGCCCATGGGTATAGTGTTTGAAGGTGCACTGTGTTTTGTTAGTGCCTCTATAACCTTCTGGCAATAACCAAAACTATTGAATTGACCTTGATAAGCAAGACTCACTTTTTCCTCATTAGCTACTAGAGTTGGATTACTGTGAACTGGAATCAAAGGATAATTCTAACATACCAAAAAAATTTCCTTGAAGCCGCTGAAAAGTTCTCGAACAACTTTCCTCATCTGGGGCACCAGTTTGAATATGCGCAGAGGCCTCAGGCACCGAAGGACCATTAGGAGCTGAGCTCCCGATTCAGCAGGTACATTTTGAGGCATCCAACAAAGAAATATCAAGCTCACCTAAAGGGGAAAAACAATCTCTGGAATTTAAACAATTCATCTCCTGCTAGTTACATTTTCTGAGAGCGAACTGGCCACAACTTTTCATTTAGCAGAGATTCCACTCACTGGTTATACGTGCAATCTGTTAACTTTAAACAACAAACCTCATCTGGACTTGCTAGATACCTCAAAGGGAAGTCATCATGTGTATGCAGGAAAGAAATGGAGGTGTCCACACCGTGTGTGCATGTGTGTGTGTGTGTACACCAGTGCATTCTTTTAACTTACTACTCTGGAGGCTCCGCTGATGTCAGTATGGCTGGAATTCCTTTTATCAAAGTTACTGCTATTTTATCAATGATCTGCAACATGCTACCTGTTAATGATCACAATTTTCCTTGTTGTGTCTGCAAAGACAATGATTTCATGCCTTCTTGGACATACAGAAAAAATAAAAAATTCTTTGAGCCCATTTCTGTGGTTTTCCAGCCTGTTTTACTGGACAGTTGAATGGGCACCTGCTATAGCCAGGTATTTTATGCATTGGAATCAGGAGAGAGGTCCAATCACAATCACTTTAGTTGGCTTTCAACAATAAGGGGCTCATAATCAATAACATGGTTTATATGAGACAAACATTTTTTTTTTTTTAGTATAGAAGCCATAAGATTTGTGGGATGCAAACTAGGTTTGCTATGTTACACCTTATTCGTGTATGTCTCACTCATACATAAAATTGTGATTAGTGTATTTGAACAACATAACTATCCATAGATATTTATGATGCTCTTAATTTAGATTTTACATGCATGGCCCTTATTTATATATAATGAACTATGAACTACTCTAGAGTCCATTTAAGAATTCAGTTAGGGAATCTAAACCTCTGTGACTCATACTATATCTTGCACTTATACCAAGAAATGCAGGAGATTTTACAAAACCATTACATTTTTCATTTAGGAAATAACCAAAAACTTACAAGATAAATAAATATGTCCATTACTCCACCAAAGTCTCTGATGACAGCAGTTGGAGTGAAAAATAAGCCATCTGCCATAATCTTCAGATTAAGCTCAATGCTCATGAATATAACAAACACATACTCAGCAATCTGAAATGGGCAAAAGGCAGTGTGGTTACAATGAACGGAAAAACGGCAGGTCAGTATTTTACCTCCTAGTTGTAAGCTGAGATTTAGCAGCGGTACCTGCAAAGTAGGTGCATGCATGACTCTTCGAAACGGGGACTCAAACATCATGGAAATGCAAGAGCAGATGGTTACGATGATCATGACCCAGTCCAGGTAAGTGACCAATCCCAGCAAATCACTGCCAAAGACCAAACAAAACTGAGAAACATAAAGGTTCCAGGAAAGGCTTCTAAGAGTTAGAGATGATGGCTTCTGTGGCTCTATCAACATGACTGGTATTTTAAAAACATCTTTCCCCAATCATCTATTTCATAGCACTATATAGCAAGAAGACAAAAGAGAATTTTAATATTTGTATGCAGCATAAAATAGTACATGAAAACTTCAAATGTGCATAGAAAATGAAGTTTTTAATGCTTACTAAAGTTGATGGTACTTTGTATTTTTCACAGCTCCTGTGACAGGGTCTGTTTTAGATCTGTAAGAGAACACATATATAAAATTCTGCAACACAGCAAGCATGTTTTAACTTGCTAAAAATCATATTTGCAAACATCTACCTAAAATCTCTTGTACATCCTCTCTACAATGTCCATTATAAAATATGTTAACTGTAGGTGACTCTGGAGGTCAGAGAACATTAGACGAAAGAAAAAATCCAAAGAATTTGCAGTTGATGCTTATGAAAATAAAGTTTTATGTTTCTCAAAATACTTGATTTTAGACTTAGTGACTTTGTTCAGAATTTTCTAACATGGGTAGTACCAAATTAAATTTTGACTTTCATTTAAAAATACTCATTTAAAATCTTTGTCTTAATAGCTCAAGAATGTTCGTTCTTTGAAATTATTTAATTAAATCTCCACAATTTAAATAGACTTCTTCCTCCTGCATTTAACTGTGATGTTGTAGAATGATTATTTAGAATTTCTTGGAAGGGAGATTCATTGTTTCTACTTTCAGGAAGCCTGTGAGCACTGTCAGTGAGATTGCTTACAGTCTTTGCGTATGTGTCCCCAGTTACAACAGAGTCTTCATCAATTGTAATCAACATCAGCTGCCTTGCTGATAAAAGGGAAATTCCACCACACTAAGTGAAGTGGAGAATTAGCCATGAGATATTAAGGTGCAGGCAGCCAACAGGATAATTCAAGATAAAAAACCTACTTCGAGAAGTGATCAAATCGATCTCTAAACTGGCATTTTCTTCCTTTACTTTGAAAACTCATGGAAGATTTTAATAATTATGACTCAGTTGTTTTAAAATGTGAAAGTCTTTATAGAAGCAGAAAGAACAATACTCTGGCAATCAAGAGACAGCCAGGTAGTAGCTGGGTCCCTGAGCAAAGCCCTCAACTTCTGCATGCTTAAATGTCCTCCTCTGTTGAAGAAGGGGGCACACAAATGACACTGAGTGGTCCCTGAAGTCTCTTCCATCCCTGAAATGTTATAATAGTTTGTATTAGTTTCCTTGAGCTGCTGTAACAAAGTACCACCGGTGCTTAAGACTGGGTGGCTTAAGTAATGTAAGTTTATTTTCTCATAGTTTTGGAGGCTGGAAATCCAAGATCAAGATACCAGCTGAGTTGGTTCCTTCTGAGGGCTGTGAGGGATAACCCTGTTCCAGGGCTGTCTCCTTGACTTGTGGACATCCGTCTTCTCCCTACGTGTCTTCGCAAGGTCTTCTCTCTGTATATGTCTGTGTCCAAATGTTCCCTTTTTATAAGGAAACCAATCATATTGGATTAGGGCCCACTCTAATGACCTCATTTTAATTTAATTAACCTGTTTAAAATTCCTATTTCCAAATACAGTCACATTCTGAGGTTCTGAGGGTTCGGACTCTACTATATGGATTTTGCTGGGGGAGAACAGTTCAGTCCATAACAGATAGCGATTATCATATGCTACTAATTAATAACAAAGAAATCAATTTACTTAAATGATGGCATCAGGGACAGTTCAACTACATAATGGGAACATGGAAAGTTTTCTCATTTCCTCCATGACTCTTAATGTCTTCGGAATATTTACTTAAAGGTACTGATATGGTTTGGCTCTGTGTCCACACCCAAATCTCATCTTGAATTGTAGCTCCCATAATTCCCACGTGCTGTAGGAGGGAACCAGTCGGAGATAATTGAATCATGGGGGCGGTTCCCCCATACTGTTCTTGTGGTAGTCAATAAATCTCATAAGATCTGATGATTTTATGAGGGATTTCTGCTTTCACTTCTCTCTCATTCTCTCTTGCCTGTGCCATGTAAGATGTGCCTATTGCCTTCCACCATGATTGTGAGGCCTCCCCAGCCACGTGGGACTGTGAGTCCAATAAATTTCTTTTTCTTTATAAATTACCCAGTCTCGAGTATGTCTTTATCAGTAGTATGAAAATGGACTAACACAGGTATGCTTGACAAAAATCCATTTCATCCATTGGTTGCCCGTCAAACTTGGCTTAGGTGTCCACAAATACAGTGTCTTCAGCATTCACCCTACTGATGGCTTCGTACACATTTCTTCCATGTTGGTAGAGTAGAGACAGCGGACAGTGGGTTTCCTTCATATAACAGTTGGTAATGAAAGCACCAGTCAACTTTACATTATTCTCCAATAAACCAACTGAGGTATTTTTACCACAAAGAAACTACAAGCCTGATGGAAGACATGGACAATGACCTTCATTTCACCATGTCCTTTAGTCTCCTTTCGTCTCAGTATTTCCAAAATAAAATATGGAGTTAATAATGCCGATATAAATGTATCAGGAAACTGCTAAAATGCACAAACAAAAATGGCTGTATTGTGTTTTATCGATGCGAGTTTTCTATAAATGTTAACTACTTGCGACCTTTGTTTGTTTTCCACCTGGTCGGGTGTTCAGCAAAGAGGAGCAGCATGATTAATTAGTCCACAGTTTATTTTGTGACCCCATTAGGATTACATGTTCCTTCTTCTTCATATGACAACACCCCTGCTGTTTGCACGGCTCAGGCCAAACACCTGGCTGAAATGAAGTGTACTTACGCGTTGAAGCGTGCTCGGACCACCACCCGGCAAAAGTTTCTGAACCTGTGTTCTCTCCCGACGATGAACAGGGGCTTATCGAAGTACGGGTGGTTCTCTCTGAGTTCCTCTTCTTGCACTTTCCTTGGAGGAGAAATTCGTGGGAGAATAAGGCTAAGGGAAATGTTGCCATTCCCAAATGAGAGCCATGGAACACTGCAGCAACCTGTACCTTTTCATCTCTGCTTGCTCCTTTTTCTCCTGAATCATCTTTATCTCACTGTCTTCTCTCTGTGCATTTCTGTATCTCACTGTATTGGAATGCTAGAAATAAATTAAAAGGGGGTATGTTAAAATAGGAGGGTTTTGAATGCAAAATATATTATCAGTTAAAAAAATTAAAACCACTATCTCCCTCGATATAGAGTCTAAATATTAATTATATATAGTTACTGTTAAACATATATTTATACTAAATGTACATTTTATAATATGTATATTTATACTAAATGTATAGTTATAATATGTATATTTACACTAAATGTGTATATTTACAATAAATATATTTACACTATATATTTACAATAAATATATATCTGAGTTGTACATATTTACAATAAGTATGTATATTTATACTAAATGTATATATTTACATTAAATATGTATACTTAAACTAAATGTATGTATTTACATTAAATATGTAAATTTACAATATATATAATAAGATTAAATATATATCTTTAATGGCCACAGTCTTCATAGCAGGAGTATTTTCTCCTCTGAAAAGTAATTCATTCAGCACATATTGACTGAAATCCCATTATGTGCCCGGCACTGTTCTAACGTGTGGGATATGGCAAGTGGAAACAAAATATCCTTGTTCTCATAGGATGTTCTAGTCAGTGGGAAACAGATAAAAAATAATTCAAAATAAGTATATTAGAGGATGCTGAGTGATCTGATTTTTTTTAAAAATCACAGTGGGTGAGAGGAACAGAGAGGCATTCACAGGCTAGAAGATTGTGATTCTAAGTGAACAGGTCAGGGTAGACCTCAATATGAAGGTGCTATCTGAGGAAAGACTAGAAGGATGTGAGGGTGTAGGCTGTGGTAGGGCTGCAGACATGTGTTCTTCCACAGCTGGGAGCAGGCCTGGCATGTCTACACATGGAATAGCCAGGATGCCAGTGTAGGTAAATCTAAGAGAGGTGAGCAGGCCATGCGGGCCCTTCACAGCCCTTTAGCTGGACCCCACGGAAGGTGCAGGGCCAGAGTTCCAGTAACTCAGTAGATTTTATAGAAAGCTCTCCTTAGACTTAATTATCTGTGTCTGCTCTCATTCAGAATAAGTGAAAAAGTTAAAATTCTCTAATTTAAATCTCTCCTTTGTGGGAGAAAAGACCTTATAAGAATTTATTGGAAATGATCAGAACCCCATGACATTTTGCTATGGAGAAGGTGGGAGATGGATTTTGCTCCACTTCTAGATGAAAGATAGGGTAGGAAGTCTCTGAAGAAGTAAGCTCTGGCATTTAGACTATTCAAACAGGGCCTTTGCTGTCTATGTTTAAACACATTATTTTCAAAGACATGTTCTGATTTGATTCTTATGTAGGTTGTACATTTCAGGTGAAACGTATTGATGGCGCTTTGAATGAGGGTTGCCTTTTTGACTTTTTACCTGAAAATGTTCTCCGTGCAATATGGCTGACTCTGCAATTCTAAGTGCACAGGCCATGTGTTGGATTTGATGGCAATTCCATGTCAACAATATGGTAGCCAATCAGATAGAGCTCTGGATATTAAAAATCATGGCAGTAACAGATCTTGTGCCAACTAGAACCATGTCTATAGGGTACTGGTGATACCAGGTGTTCTCATTGCCAACTTCTAGCTCTTGATTTTGCCTGGAACACTTAATAAAAACCATCTACTCAGACTAAAACACACAGGTGTCTAAAGAATGAAAGCAGATGTAGTAGGCCAACACTCCAAAAACTCAAGAAATAAGAGGTCAGTGGTGAAAAAGAGAAAAACAAAATAACCCCAAGGCTTTGCTAACTTTCTCTTGCTAGCCCTCCTTTCTCAAGTGCCATCCTTGACTCTGAACATTCAAGACTACTTTTTTAGCCAGTTCATCCAGATTCAACCTAAGGCCTGTCTTTTAATCAGGACTTCATAATTACAGTTATTTATTATGCCTTTCCTTTCACTGTAATCTTTGCATGGTATAGCTGCTGGGCCATCTAACGCTTGGCTTCTATGCATTTTTTTCGTGGCTCCTTCATTTCATTTGGGTCTCTGGGATAACGCAGAGGGGTCTACGATAACCATCATCTCTAAAATTCCCAGCCCCTAAATCCCCACCTTTGATTTCTTTACGTGACTTCATTTCACTTTACATTACAAAGCAAATCTGTCACAGTAATGAAGAGATGATGGAAAATAAAAATAAATCACTCCAGAAATTCCCTTATATTTTTACGAACTTACGATCTGTCTCCTATTCTAAAATTTAAGCTCCAGGAGGGCATTGAGTCTATCCTATTTCCCCACTGCTCCTCATTCCTTAGAACAGGACCCAGCACATAACAAACACTTGATAACTATTTATAGAGCTAGTAAATAAATACATGACCTAGAGTCTTTCTTGGGAAATACTAGCTAGTCTTTGACAGAAAAATTCTTCTAGAAATAAAATTTCACTTCCTCGTATAAAAGCCCTGAAATTATAGACCCTTGATCTAGATTCTAGAATATTTGATTCTTAGGGAATATTCAAAGTCAATGATGCAAATCAAACCTATCTAAAATGCTTAAAGTGTCTTTAATTTCAAGTCAAATGCAACTGATATGACACTTTTGTGTTACAATTTTAACTAAGACATGTGCTTTGTGTGGGATGACTGGAGTTTTCTGCTGTTAACAGTTACTTCTGGTACTTGGCTACATAATTCATATCCTGAGTTTCCTGATTCCCTCTGGTATGAAGTCTTAAGGAGACACGGGAATGCGGCAGAAAGACTCCGGCACTGACACTGTCTAAGCAGTCATTTAAATACATTTTCATAATCACGCTTCTGAAATCCAAAGCACTGCTTACAACTTACATCTTGAGTCAAAGTTTCAAGAGATTTTCCCCTGCTGATCCTCTGGCTGTTTGATCCATGTCTTAGTGACCTAAAACAACCACAGTCACTGGTTAATACATTTCACGATCAAACCCTCCTTTCAAGCAGTGACCATGGTAAATTCAAAATAAAACACTTTTTCTGCTACAACACCACAAATGCCTATGATTTCTTTTCGTAGCAGAAGCTTATACTCTTTCCAAATGTCTTTGATCCCATCTAACAAAATTCAGAATTTTTCCTTCTGATCTTAAAAGTGAGAATTTGGCCATCTCCAAGGAAAAGGATTGTGAAGTAGAGATGTTTTTGAATCTTTGGATCTGAGTAGGTGTTTCATTGTTGTAACAAACAGCAAATAGAATTCGATTCTTCAGCCATGCCTGTCTGGCAGCCAGGGCTGACAGCGGTGGCTGTGTACAGCAACCATTTCCTGTAAAACCCCCTCTTTTTTACAGTCGCTGAAGCCCTGTCTTTCCGAGTATTTACCTGCGCTCTTGGCGGATATGATGCTGCACGCTGAGGATTGACCTCTCCTTTGCCGGCTGCCCCTCGAATGATCCACTCAGCATGCGCTGTCGGGTGCAAGCTCTAGGAACAAAAAAAGGAGCCCAAGATAAATGCATGGTTTGTACACTTGAGATGAATAATACATAAGTGCTCATTACTTTTATTATTTTAAAGGCAACACCAATGAAAACAAAATACAGCAAATAACGTATAATTATAAAGGAAAATGAACTTTACGTTCTGTGTCAAGAACACTTACAAAGCAGAAGTGTCACGGCTATGAAGAACGGCTGGAAAATAAACAGAAAGCTCCCCTCTTGCCCCTCCTCCTTCTGCCTCCTCCCTCCTCTCCAAAAATAATGGTAGAGCTTCTATCAGGAGGCCATAAGAAGGAAGGCCAGCCTACCCACAGTGATAGGGTTTGGCTGTGTCCCCACCCAAATCTCATCTTGGATTCCCACGTATTGTGGGAGGGACCCGGTGGGAGGTAATGGAATCATGGTGGCAGCTCTTTCTTGTGCTAGTCTCGTGATTGTGAATTAGTCTCACCAGATCTGATGGTTTTAAAAGGGGGAGCTTCCCTGTACAAGCTCTCTTGTCTGTTACCATATGAGATGTGCCTTTCACCTTCTGCTATGATTGTGAGGCCTCTCCAGCAACATGGAACTGTAAGTTAATTCAGCCTCTTTCTTTCGTAAATTGTCCAGTCTCAGGTATGTCTTTATCAGCAGCATGAAAACAGACTCATACACACAGGCAATCATGATGTTGGTTTTGAATTTAAACAAGGTTTCTAATAAACCCCCTTTGGGAAGGATTTGTCCACTCAGGCTTCTGGAATGATGAAATATATGTTCCAAGGAGATTTTGCAGAACTTTAGGAAAACATAAAGTTTAGAAGCAAAAATGAGTCATAAAGAGCAGTAACGAAAGCTGGAATTATGCACAACGATGTAAACATACTTAACATGACTGAACCGTACACTTAGAAATGGTTTAGATGGCAAATGTTATGTGTTGTTTTTAAAATCACAGTTCTAAAAAGAAAGGCACACAGTTTTTGGAATTATTACCTACAGAAACCTCAGTCTGAAGCTTGCAGCTTACTGGTAACCAGTTACCACTTGTTTAAACCATGGAGACTTTTAAAAACATGTTCTCTTTGGACCATAACTGGACTTGTGTTAATTTCAGATTTGCTAATGAGTGAAGACAACTGGGTGGCCTAACACCTGTGGTGTGAACGATTTTGGTGAGAAAAAAAATTATTCTCCAGAAAATTTTCTCCAACTGGGAATGACAGGAATTCCCTTGAGATAGTTGGTAAGTGGCAAGAAAATAACACAAGGGATTAAATGACTTGTGTGCCAGAAGTTACATTGCTATGAACCAGTTGGGTGATCTTTGGGCCCAACTTCCTTATTGATAAAATGAAGAGAAAGGCTTGCTCTGAAAGACAGCTCACAGGTTGAAAATGCAATGATTTTATCATATGCAAATCTAATGATACTCTATTTGCTCAACACCTGAACACATAATTCTATCATTTTTTACATATAATTTTCATATTTAATATGTTTCTTAAGATGCATTTGTTGAATGGCTTTGAATAATATGATTACTGTCTGTCTCAGAGTTAAGATCTTTGAGAAAAGGATTTGTATGTGCTTAGCACACTTAAAATAGCAGTGCTTATGATACATGTATAATAGAAGCATTTTTAAGTACTTAAATATAACACGTATTACAGAAGAACTTATTATATAATAATACAGCATATAAGAACTTATTATATAATAATACATTATATAAGAACTTATTAAATATGTCATATTTAAGTCCTTAAAAATGCTTTTAATGTGGATGAAGATAATTATGGTGAATATCCATGAAAAACCATACAAATTCACTGAATGTAAATGTATTCTTGGAAACAAACCCCAAATAATCATTATTTTTCATTTACAGCATGAAGCAACTTTTCTACAGATGCATAAATATGTCTAAAGAGAACATTCTGAAAAATCTCATTCCATTATACAAGGAGACCACTGGCCACACACAGGTTCCTGGTGGATGAGGGAAGGACAGCAGATGGAAGTTATAAACCTGAGACTGGATGGTAGATGCAGGAGCAAGGGAAGGGAATAGAAAGGAAGTTTTATAACCCTTTGGCCTGGAACTGACCTGGACATTGAAACAGGTATAGAAAGATGCCCACGATAGGATGTTTCTGCATAATGAAACAGCCTTGTACTGCCTAAGCCATTGTCACTTTCCTTGGCCATGTAAGAAATTTTGCTATTTTGGAAAATAACAGTGTTGCCAGAAAGCTATGAACTTCAGTTGGACACAATCAGACCTGCTAAGAGGTTACATGTACTCTAATCCAATGTGCCCAGGTTCATACAAAAGGATGGTAGAAGTTTGCTTTATTATTTTTAAAGGAAATACAATGTTACCATAGATAAGCATATACAGTAAGGCAAACCATGAAATACCAAATAGTGTTTTAACATGCACAATATAATGACAGACTGATACAAATGGGTTCTGAAAAGTAACATGAAATGAAAAATGAATATTTCACCTATGTGAAAGCACAAAAAAATGACTTGTTTTATACTCCATGTTCCCACAGTATGTTATTAACCAAGCTTGTTTAATGCTTACGGCATTTTGTTATCATTAGTTATTCCCCTTACTAGGCTGTGAGGTGATTAGGGACCACTTTATCACTCAGCCTCCCATTCCTAGGAAGTTCAGTTCCTGGCCCTCAGGCTGCCTGCTGAACAGAATGAGTAAGTGAAAAGGTGGGGAGGGGTGAGTAGGGAGGGTAGCATCAGGTGCATGGGGACTGTGTGACCCCATCCCTAACTTGCTAGTCTCTCACGGTTCAAAGAAGTCCACCCTGCAGTGCAGCTGCTGATGGAAAGTTCTGCCTTTTTCTGGAAGCCTAATGGAGAAGATGAGTTGAGAAAACATAAGCTTTAGAAGCACACACTTCTGACTTCAACTTTTATAAGTTGTGGGACCTTAGACAGGTGATGTGCTTTCTCTGAGCCTCCATTTCTCATATGTAAAATGTAGAGAACAATAATGCCTTTCCTTCTGACTTCACAGGGAGTTGGAAGAAGTAAAGATGATTATGAATGTGATAGCACTTTGGAAACATCAACACTTTCTTTGAATTTTAGTTGCTATTATTTCCTGTTGTATCTTGTCCTGTGTCATGGTGGATGTTATAACACTCTACATAGCACTGGGGACTGAGCAGCAAGTTTGGCAGAGGATAATAGCAGAAGCTAAGTCTTTTGTGTTCTGACTGATAATGATGTCCATTGTGGACCCATGCCTCCACCCTCAGAAAAGATACTGCATTGTTATCCCAAACCGAATGTTCTCTGGAATGAACGTCCATAATGGTATTGTGGCAGGCAGGTTTCTAAGATTACCCTGATGACCTCTGGCTCCTGAGTTTCACGCCCTTGGGTACTTACTTCCCTCCCCTTGAATGTGGGTGGCACTTAGTGACTTCCTGTTAAGGAGCAGAAGAATGGGAGAGGTTGCAGAACACTATGACTTCTGTCTTCCTAGAGCTCTCTCTCTCTCATGCTGACTTGCTCTTGCCCTCTTGTTTGCTTGCCCTGGTGAAGCAAGCTGCATTTTGTGAGGTGCTCTGTGGAGAGTTCCCCTTGGGGAGGAATGAAACCAGCTGGAACTGAAGCCTTCACATCACAGCTCACAAGGAACTGAATCCACTAATAACCATGCGACTGAGTGGGGCTCTTCCCATTCAAGTCCAAATGCATGTAGCTTGGAGAGAGACATGACAAAGTGATGCCCAGATTCCTGACTAAAACTGTGAGATGAAAAACGTGTCATTTAAATCACTTCAGTTTTGGTGTAATTTGTCATGCAGCAATAGATCACGAATGCAGTTACCATCACTGCCTTAAAAAGACTAAGCCTAATGTGCAGTGTGGCTTACAAAGCCCTGTTTAGACTCCCTCTAACCTCCCTTTCTGGTCTCGTCTTTACCAGGAGGAACCTCATTCTCTCCATGCCATTTTCTTTGGTCTTTTATATTCGTCACATACGCCATGCTCCAAAGAGCTCCAAGAGAGCAGGCATTGTCTTTACAATTGTTCATGATTATTTCTCAGCTCTTATCCACAGTAGGTGCTCAATAAATATTTGTGGAATGAATGAACCTTGAAATTCTGTGAAGATCAAATATTTTCTTTTTTGATCACTCCATGCTTCTGAAGCATGAAAATCATCACGGACAAAATAGCATGTGTTTAAAATATACTTTTGAAAGGGGCAAGTTAAATAATCTTAATTTTATCTCAAGTTAGAATATGATGCCACTCAGGAATAATGGGCTGCATACCTACGCTAGAAGAGACAGTAATGAAAAAAAAAGACATTGCACCTTACAACTGAAAAATGCATAAATCTTTCTCTACGTTGTATGTGAAAGCTATTACGGAAGTCTGAAAGCCAACGTGGAAGCAGAGCAGGCTGTAGCAGGTGAACTTATTTCTATTCCTTTAACTGGAGATCAGATCTGTTGCTGGGAACGTGGTCTCCATATACCTCCTCTTATAGGAATCGAATACTTGCAAGCCGCACTAGTGAATAACTACAAAATTTGAGACTTCTAATATTTTATATAAGAAATGAGATGCATACATCTTTAAAGTTACCAAGTAATGGACCTACGCAGAAGGAGAAATACTCGAATATTCCATTTGGTTATATTTTGCCACTTTTCATTTTTCATTAGGGTTGAGATGCCTTTTGGTCTCACATAAGCACAAACGAGGTACGTTTTCAGGAAGAAAATGCTCATTTATTTGTCATCCAGAGTAAGAGCAAAGCTAATGGTGCTGGAAAAATACTGTGATCTTCAGGGACAGTCTCACTTTTCTTAGGGGAAAGACTGGGTAGTGTCAGGTATCAAGGTTCTTAACATCTTCCCTAGATCCCTTCATAATGGCAAGTACTAGAAGGCCACTTTTTTAGAAACTCCATCTAGTGGCTTAATATAAAATATTGGCCTGCCTCCTTGGCTTCTGCAACTGGGAGGCACAAGACTTCAAGTGTCTGGTGAAAAATAATGAAGTCTTTTGTCTTGTCTGAGTGAGGAAATTCTGCATTATGCAGGCATATGTAATCCCTTTATTCCTGTTCCCTGGAGGAGAATTACAGTGAGGCATTTTCCTTTTCCCAGTTGGGGTTAATGTTATGCCCTCTCTACCTTTGAAAGTAAAACAAGATGAGGACCCCTGAGGATGATTCAAATGTGGGAATATTCTTCAGCAAACACACATTCCCAGTTGCAAAAATATTACCCCTGGTTTCTTGCCAAGCCTTTGAGAAAAAAAATATGAAAGATTGATCCTTTTTTTTCCCCCTGCATTGTCTTTGTGCTGTGGAATTTCAATTGCTCCTTATATGACAGCCATATATATATATAATCTTTTATGGAGGTTGGGGAAAGAGAATCATGTCTTGAAATTGTCTCTATTTTTCTTGATATTTCTCCATCTAAAATATTTTAAAATTGGCCCAAAGATTATGGTTATAAGAGAGATCTTTGGAGCTTTATTAGCCTTTAAACACCACTAGTTGTTTATAGACACAGTAGCAGGGGGTCCCCGGTTCGTTTCTTCTTTGTCTCCATGTCTTCTTTCTTAATGTCCCAGAACAAGGGTGTGGGAAAAGCCTATACATTCTGTAATGAAAGGGAGAGGCCTATGAGTCTTCGAATTACTTTCACTCATTATAGAAAAGTTAGATTACACAATGCCATCTGGTATTAAATGTAATTACCATCTGAAGGAACGGCAGTATAACTTTGCAGAGCATTCCATTTGAGGGATTTTGCTCAAATCTTGAACTCCACAAGTAATACATTTGAAAGTATTATCCGAGGTTGGTTAATGTAATGTAATCACATTAGCAGACAACAGGAAAATGGTCTTTCAGTGGTAATTATGTAAAACTATGACTGTATAACTAAGAGAATAGATAATGAGTATTTCCTGGAAATGGCTCTTACCTGACTCCACTAGAGTGACAATGTGATCTTCCCAAGTAGAGACAACAGCGGATGCTAATGGGTGAGCTCGTCGGTAATGGCCTCTTGCTGAGATGAGGAAAAAGCTGCATTTTTATCCTAGTGGATACCCCACTCCTTTGTGAGTCAGCCCTGTCCCGAGTAAGTGGATCTGGCTTTTTCATAGCAACCGCGGGTTAGTTCTTCCCAATCTTGTGTTATTCACAAAAATGTTTTCATAGAAAGGCATGTAAATACATGGGCGACCAGAACTTCATTGTAGGCAGAAAATAAAATAAACCTTGAATGTCTTTATCTTATGCACTTATACCCATACTATAAACAAAAAAGAAAAATTAACTCATGAGAAATCCATGCCTTTAGTGCATCTATTAAATTTCAGCATTAAAAATGTCTGCAACCCCGCATCATTCACTGGGATTCAAATTTAGTAACCCAACTACTGACTCAGAAATGTGCAGATTACAATGCAAAGGCTGAACTTTTTACTACAATAAGGAAGTGAGATTTTGTAAATGTTGCAGAAACTGCATTGGCCAATTTTCAGCAGATACGTATTCCATTTTTTCTTTACTACTTTACTCTCCGGTGATAAAATAACAAAAGAAAGACCTTGTTAAAATATCTTCCTGTCTCCATAGTTTTATCTTTCCCAGAATGCCATATAGCTGGAATCATATGGTATGTAGACTTTTCAGACTGACTTCTTTCACTCAGTAGCATGCATTGATGTTTACACTATGTCTTTTCATGATGATAACTCATTTCTTTTCCATGCTGAATAATTATTCCACTGTCTGGATGTACCATAGTTTGCTTATCCATTCTCCTACTGAAGGATATCTTGGTTGCTTCCAAGTTTTGGCAATTATGAATAAAGCTGCCATAAACATCAATGCATGTCTATGGAGACACATATCTATGTATTTCTATGTTCATTTCTATGTCTGTGGAAACAGTAAAAAGATCATTGGTTGCCAGGGTTTGTGGGGAGGGAGGAATGAATAGGTGGAGCACAGAGGATTTTTAGAGCACTGAAATTACTCTGTATGATATTATAATGGTAGATACACGTCCTCACATATTTGTTCAAACCCACAGAATGTACTACTCTAGGAGTGAACCCTAGTGTAAACTACAGACTTGGGGTGATAGTGAGGTGACAGTGTAGGTTCATCAATTGTAACAACTGTACCACTCTGATGGGGATGTTGATAGCTGGGGAGACTGCCTGTGTAGGGGCAGAGGGTACCTGGGAAATCTCTGTACCTTTGCTGTATTTTGCTGCAAACCTAAAACTGTTCAAAAAACACTCCATTAAAAAAATACTCCCACATCTGTTTGGTAAAACTCAATAGTAGCCCTTCTAATCCATAACACTATTATCATCACTTTTGGGTTTATCCAAAAACAATCTATAAATCATATGCTATCTCATAAAATATATTTTGATTACCACAAATCAGGTACTATCTAAAAATGTATTTATATTATTTTTGTTTTAGTTGTATTTTGCCACTTTTAAATATTTACTATTTTATGTTTTATGCAAAAACATATGCCTACACATCTTGTCTCCTTAGTTTATGGTTGTCTGAATACAGTTAATTTTCGTCTATCTACTTAGTTTATTTCCAAATAGTCTTTCAACTAACCTACTAGAGTTTTTAAGTGTCAGGAAAACCTTAAGAAAAAGCCAACAATAAGCAGCCAGGCTTAATAGAATTACAAAGATAAATATTTATGACATTCATTTTCAATACTCCATTTTCTTAAAACTCGGGATTATTCATACCAAATGCTAATAAAAAAAAATCGCTGCTATCTCAGGGGTTGCCGCAAACCCTAGGCTGCAAGGGTCTCTGTCCTTTCTCTCATCTGTAGGGTCAGTCCAGCACCTTGCCTTTCCACTGAGGAGCCCAGCTCAAAGGTCTAGGGGATGCTGTAAGGCACTCGGGCCCTCCCAGTACTCTAGAGGGTGTCTTGCTAGTTCTGCCCAGAATGGAGAGCTGCAGAGAAATAACACGACCTTATCCAAAGTTGCTGAATAGCTGGCTAACCTATGGAACAATAATTATGAAAGGAGAACTTTCCAAATGGGAAAAAGCAAATGGTGTGAAATGCCTGGCATGTGAAAGACACTACAGAGATATTTCTTGAGTGAATGCGTGAATTCTTAGGGGCACTTTCTTTCAGGAAAGAAATCCAGCTAATGTCATTTACATAACTGCAGATTAATAAATACATAGTGATTTTATATATATGTAAGTAGTATATTGTATTTATAGTCATTAAATGATTCTTTTAAAATGATGAATAAGAGAAATACTAACTCTATGTCTTTTATTAAATCCATTTAATTTCTGTATTAAGTAGCATTAAGGACTATTCCTTAAGACTTAAACAATTATTAATATAAGTGCATAGTAAAGAAAGTTACGTTATAAAACCAAACATCAGAATGCAAACATCATGTGAGACTGAGCATTCGAAAGGTTATAAAGATACTCTCCTCGCTAAGGAGGTACTCATGGCCAACCACGAAAGGATGGAACTTTCTAAAATAATGTAAAATGTTTAATTGTTTTATTTTGACATTTCTCTATTCATTCAGCCTTGCAGGAATGATAACGCATTTTTGCTCAATTTCAGGGCTTTGAATAGAGGAAATCTCAACAAAAGTAGTGACGCTTTTGAAAGCACATTGCTATTTGTTTTTGATTTCGCCTGATGCAGAGAAAAGGTCACTGCCTTTTGAAAAGAAGCTTTCCTTAGTGGAGCTGAATGATATAGTCTAAGTCAGAACAACAACAAATTTAATAGCAATCTTTGATTTTATAATTCAGGTAGTGGAACATCCTCTCTCTCACAGTCCTCTTCAGATAAGTCTTATAAAACAATGACACAGATGCCTGTTTGTGCCAAGTGAATCATCTGCATTTTAGCATGGGCCGGTAGCCTCAAGTTCTGTATAAATGGCCCACTTTTTTTTCTCATCAAAGAGTTCTAAAATATATTAAAAATTCATTTCTATTTCTCAAAACATCAATTAATTTTAAAAAGTACAACAACATGAATTAAAGATGATTATACATAGAAATGGGTGATTCTACCTGTGAAGCACATACCTCAGGCTCTAGGGCCCTTCCTCTCTGAAAGACTTCTTCCTCTGTGGGCTGGAATTTCCTGTTCATAGTAATGTATATAACATACTTTCTGCTAGAATAATGTGGATCCTGTTTCAAATGGAAGATGGATATTTGGAAATGTGGGTCCCCCCTGAGAACTAAGACCCCTGGCAGCTCTCCAGCTTAATTTCCAGGGTTGAGAGCTGAGGGCTCTGCATCAATATGACTTGACTTGTTCAGGAAGGTAAAGCTGTTAACCAGTCAGCAACTTCATTGTTGATTTCAGGCACTTCCTCCAAATTCATTTATCTGAACTATAGACTGCTGGGCCAACCAACCCGTTTCTCCAGACAATAGGTCACTCAACTGGTCAAGCTAGTCACATACAAATAATTGGTATTCATTAGGATGTTTTGTCAAGACTCTACCCAATGGGGATCAATCCAAAACTTAAAAAAAAAAGAAAAACACTATAAAAATCAGTTGTATTTGTTTGTTACAGTTGTGTCTGGTTAAAAATCTAAAAGGCACACACACAAAAAATAAATTTCATATGTGAAGAGGACATCATAAGGTCACCATTTGCTTTTCTTCTCTTAGATCACCCAAGTCAAGAAGGAGAATGAAAACAGAAGGGCAAACTCCCTGTAAAGAATGGATTACTCAGATGTTGAACCAGAGCCGAGGGAAAGAACATGGAAAGCAGTGGAGAGGCACCAGGCAAGTCACTTTCCCTTCCTAGTCCTCAACCACAGCACTGCCATCTTCAGCACAGTAACTATTACTTGACCACACCAGGCATCTTCAACACTCCTCAACTCATACCAAGAATTCTGCCCAATCTCAAATAGACCTCCATCCTCCAAACACTGAAACCCAAACCCAAAACCTTACATATATCCACCTCTGACCTATCCCTTCTGAGACATTATGAAAACAAAGTGGCAGTTTCCCTTATTGGAATAAGTATTAAATTTCACTTTGCTTGGTCAATAGATTATTCAGACAACCTTTTTAAGGTAGATCAGAAAACTGAGGGTCAGGTGAGTTGTTCAATGTTATAGAGAAGCTTGATGCCAGTCAAGGGGGATTTAACACCAAGTCCAGTATCCTACAGTAGAACTGGAAGGGCCCTGAAGATCGCCTCCTCCTAGCTCCCATGGAATGGACAAGAGGGTTGAGAATTGAAATTAATTGCCTGTTTACACAGCCAGGCCTCCAGAAACCTTAAGTCAAGGAGTTGCTTTATTTTTTCCCAAATATTTGTTATTTTTTGGAAAGTTATCTCAATACGCTAATACTTCATAAAAGCTTACACTTCTTATATCACTCTGGATTTAAGGTTTTTGTGATTTATCTCTATCTGCACACAAATTAGGACGAATGTCAACCTGTGATGTTTGCCACAATGATCTAGCTCAGGTCTCTTTTTCAAGCCTCCCTATACTGCTGTTACTTACCTCCCTGGTGATGAACCTCTTGGATAAGACTAAAGACAATAATTCTATGAAAATAAAAACACCTAGAAAGTTAAGAGGGATAGAACACTAAAACGGCAGTCTCTGCCAGACTTCTTTTATTTATATCTAGGTAGACCCATCTATTCAAAGATGAAATCTGCATCCTCTTTGTCTTAAAAGCCCTTTCATTTTTTAAAAGCCTTCTTTCAAAATGCAAATGGTCCTGGGAGACCCCACTGCTAAGTTATCCAGGAACCCTGGCAGAGTTTAATGGACAGCAAGGTTGGAGCCTAGGAGAGGGGAGTCTCTAGAGGCAGTAAAAAGACACTGATAAAGTGGTGGAGAGCTTTTTCTCCTTCCCAATTTTGTGGAAGGTTATTCAAAGCAATTGTCCTGAGGTTACTGCAACTATTTTCCTTTTTTTGTAAAAGAAAATTCTTTTTCCCCCTCTTCTTTTTCCTTTTAGCTGTTATTGTTCCTTGAAAAACAGTATAAAACGATACAAACACTCACTGACATGGACCCAATCTATTCTTGACTTTTTAACTGATAGATCACATTATAATGAAGGTATGGTATCATTGCCATTACTATTACTACAATTAGTGGTGAAAAGATAAGTATTCCTAAAATATCAGTTTGAGTTTTTGCACTTGCCCTTAATTCATGCAGAAACTAGTGTAGAAGCAATGAAGAAACCATTCGCACAGAACAAAAAGCAAAATGGCTTTCCAAAATCAAATTGGTATTTTAAAGAATTCTAAGGTCTTTTGTTTTTTCAAATTATGGCTTTTTATTTCCTGAGTTTCACAAGGTGATATAGCTGAGGTAGTTTTAGGGCGCTGCCTCTCATTTTGTAGTATGCTGGGCTGTAGTAAAGTATTATTGGCTGTTGAGTATCCCCTAAACTACACTATTGTTGAGCAAGTTAGAGGGGTCTATATTTCCTAATAGTCTTAAAAATATGGCTCATAGGCCGGGCGTGGTGGCTCACACCTGTAATCCCAGCACTTTGGGAGGCCGAGGTGGGTGGACCATGAGGTCAGGAGATCGAGACCATGGTGAAACCCTGTCTCTACTTAAAAAATACAAAAAATTAGCCAGGCGTGGTGGCAGGCGCCAGCTACTCGGGAGGCTGAGGCAGGAGAATGGCGTGAACCCAGGAGGCGGAGTTTGCAGTGAGCCGAGATCGCGCCACTGCACTCCAGCCTGGGTGACAGAGCAAGAATCTGTCTCAAAAAAAAAAAAAAGTATTGCTCATGTGCATTATATAATTGAAAAAACAAAAACACTTCTGTATATTTAAAAATCAGCAACTATGTTCCTCTTGTACCATGTTAAATAGAAGAATGTAATTTCTAGCAATTCTAGTAATTATTGTGTTTGTGCTTGAAAATAATTTTGAGAATAAATTGGAGACTCTTAGCCATCCAATCTATTCAATTCATTGGGTGCTTATTAAATCAGTTTTCACTGTTGAACCAATCAGCTGAATCTGTCAGAAAAAGTCTGACTTTATTTTTCAATTCAAACAACATGTAACCACATGCCCTTGTGACAATCACATTGTTTCTAAGGCCTAACTCTAAGGTAGATAGCTTTGGGAAGGAAGTTATCCATAAAATTGTTACCTGGATAAATAATAAGGCATGGCCCCATGGGACCCTCTTTTTGGAGAAAGCCAGGTGGGAACGGTCTTTTTGCTTGGCAATCCAGAGGATTTTTACATCCCAGATTAATATACACCATAGTTTCTGGATGAGTGAGAGTTTCACCTTTCTTTTGTAAACTGAGAGAGGGGTAAATAAGGACAGGAGGGTGAAAAAGGTAAAGTGACAGATCAGTTTTAAGAAAGAGTTCCTAGGGAGATGAGGTCTGGAAATCGCTTCCTTGCAAGTATCTGTTTCTGCATCTGCCTCAGAAAGTCTCTGGGAACTCATTGACACAGAAGGCCCATTTACACTGCAAGGCAGTGGCTCTGGAAACATGAGTAACGTCCCTGTAGTTCCTGACTTGGCAGGCAGATTCTCAGTGCGGACTAAGAATTATGACGTTCTTGTAGGTAGTTTCTGGCTTGAGGGTGAATTTCTCTTTTTAGTGAGTGGATCAGCATTGCTGTAGAACCCTACCCATGAACTTGTCTGGTGTACATGTAGCTGGAATCATGATCCTGATGTAACATGTGTGGTTCAAGGCCAGCCTCACTGCATGATCTGATAGTAATACCAGGATGGAGTTACCAGCCAGTCAGGAGCAAGCCTAAGTTGGGAGGCAGGTTGTCTATTTCGATGAGACCTTGTCTGTTTATCTCATCACATTTTGTGGTGATAATACACAAGCCCTAGAAATACTTATTTTCATCTTATAACAGCTACTCCAACACAAACTTAACTCTATGCATGAATGCCAGCCAATATAGAGAGAAACACTGTCTTGATTAGTTAGGAATTTTATTTGCACACAAATTTTAGGTAGTATTATAAAGTTAGAATAGTTTTAAAGATCATATATACTAAGCTTTATTTCCTCACACAGTCTTCCAAGTTATAGTAACATGCATCTGGAGAGAAAGCTTTAATGTCTATACCTAGTAATGAAGCTAGTAGAGGGGAGCTAGAACTCCTTACCACTCACCACAGGTTTGCAGGGGACTTCCTGGCATGAATCTGTCCACTCGCCTTGTGAGCGATCCTACCTCCAGCTCCCAATCTTGAGTTGTGTCATTTACATATGTCTATGTAATATATGTACCAAAACATGATATTCCAAATGCTTATGTGTTTTTATACTCATCATGCTACTCTATAACATATAGTCTTATAAAATACTCAAGCAGGTTGCTTAATTTTCTCATTGATACTTCATTTCAGGGTATCTTCTAGAAAGTAGCATGAAAAGTATATATGTTTTCATAGGCATTCTAAGATGGGTATGCTTTTTATTCTTTCCAGATTTTTAATAGATGTGTTCTTAATAGTGTAATGAACTATAATGAAAGCCTTTGCTCTTTCACCATTTATCCTTCAGATTGTGATTTCTCCTTTACATATCACAAAAGATATAAAACTGTTAAAAATAACAGTAAGTTATTTTCATCTTTTGGCCAATGTTTATACTTATCATTTATGTTTAAATACTTGAAAGAAAGGCCTACTGAGCTAATAAAATATATATAGTTTTAGAAATGACATTAATAATGTCTTTTATATTATTTATAAGTATATAGATCCTCAAATCTACTTTCTGGCAGAAAGTATATGCTGAGGCCCAGAACATTAATTCATTTTTCAAAAAGCTGTTTTTTGTTTAATATAATCCCACTTGTGTTTAAATATGTGTCAACATTAATTGGTGTTACCTTAAGATTTTAGTGACTGCGGTCTCCTTTTCTAGAAGGTTCCTTGCCCTGATGCTGAAAACAGACTTGCGAAGCTGAAAATGATAAAAGTATGACTTTAGTTATGGAATGTTAAGAAATAATATACTGTCAAATCATTCAATAGATGACATTGTTAAAACATGAAACATGAATATCTTTCGCTAAAACATCATCATACGACTGACGATTCTATTTTTACTTTTATTTGGGTAGTACCATGAACAAACTTGTGGGGCGCCACGTCCCAGCCACGGGTGGTGCATTGGCTGTGCCTCACTCTGATAATGGCCTTCGTCTGAATAAACTTTTCAGTTTCCAAAGACTTTAATATTGACCCTCATACTGGACTCCTTATTTGTCTTTGATTAGTGCATTGTTCTCTAATCCATATTATGTCTGCTGCAGGTTCTTGGCCTGGAATCTCACACTAATCTGGACAATGAGTTTAGGAGTTGCTTTGCTTGCAGGCATGGGGAATGAACCAAACAGGCATTCAAGCTTGCTTCCTAGTTGGCGATGATAAAATCACTCCAGAGAAGAGAACTAAGGAGAAAACCATCCTGGATGCTGACTATAAATTCAAAGATATACTCCCCAAGGTCAGTTCTGTGTGGCTTACTAGTTGCAGATGTTAGATTGGTGGAAGGCGTACAAGGAGTTAGAGCAGGCAGAAGAAGGGCAAAGAGAAAACAGGGACATGGGCCATTATGTTCTCATAATAATACATAATAAATAGATTTACAATAATAAATAACTAGAACAAATAATAAACAACTGGAAAGTGTAACTCCAGTAGTCAGACTGAAGATAGTAATTGAAACTTGTTCATTTTGATCAATAGATTAATAGATTAGATTTACTGAGTACTTAGCATGGTATTAGTGACCATAGGAGATTTAGGGTAAATAGAATTTGGAGTTCTTGGTTTCTAGTAGGGAATAGCCTAGATAGGAAGACGAGGGTAGGACACATGAGATCATCAGTGACAAGTACAGTGCAGTAGATGGCACAGCGCTAGATGATACGTAGAGGAGAAAAAACGAGATGAGAGGGGCTGGAGCTCTTTGAGGTGGAACAGCGAGTCTGGACTAGTCGGCAAAGGCTTCACTGAAAAAGTGGAGGTTATACTGGGTCTTGAAGGAAGGCTAAGGGTCCTAGAGGCAAAGGCGGCGCTGGGTGAAGGACTGAAGTGGACATGTGTGCACAGGGCAAGTTAATTTGGTGCAAACTACCTGTATAAGTGCTGTGCTAGCCAGATCTTGAAACCAGGCAAGAAGCCCTCCAGGGCATCCTGTGTTTCAAAGTTGAGCGGGGAAAGAAACCCTCGGAAGACAGAAAACTCTGTACTCAGTAAAATTAGACCACCCAGTTAGTTTCTTTTCAACAAGGGTTAGGTATGTGGAGGTACAAACTCACAGCACCCCATTCTACAAACAAAGCTGTGAACAAATGCTATAATGTCAACCAATGTGTTCATAAAGCCATAGTGGAGAAGAACCAGAGTAACAAACAGGTCTTTTTAGTCACAAATGATAACCTGGATAACATCAAAACTAGCAATCCACTTTTCATATTTTACAGCAAATATGTAATAAAGATCAGCATCACTGAACATACTGGCAATTTCCCCCTCATGAGGAAAGTTGGTTCATTCATTTTTCTGTTCAAAAATGAAAAAACTGAATTGGTTTCATGGTTCACTAGAATTCTTGGGAGAAAAATTAATGTGTGGACAAGGAGACAAGAGTGGATACTATCCATTTGGAAATTCCATTTTCTTGGTAGCACATATATGCTATTTCCAATGATGAATCATGAAACTTCCCTACTTCTCCCCTCCTGAAAGAGTTGACTTTTGGCATAATTTTTTTTTTTTTTTTAAGATAGTCTTGTTCTGTCATCCAGGCTGGAGTGCAGTGGCGCAATCTCGGCTCACTGCAACCTCTGCCTCCCAGGTTCAAGCGATTCTCCTGCCTCAGCCACCCGAGTAGCTGGGATTACAGGTGCCCACCACCAGGCCCGGCTGATTTTTTGTATTTTTAGTAGAGACAGGGTTTCACCATATTGGCCAAGCTGGTCTTGAACTCCTGACCATGTGATCCACCCACCTCAGCCTCCCCAAGTGCTGAGATTACATGCGTGAGCCACGGTGCCTGGCCAAGAGTTGACTTTTGGCATGGATTTAACCTCTCTGAGTTGAAAGCTCAGCTCCTAAGGAAAGCTGCTTGGAGCTGCTTTTGGAGATGGAAGACTCAGCTGGTGGCCCCATCATCATGGTGCATCTGCTCTTTAGACACCTAAGAACACACATAGTCCTGAGGCAGACCCAGGCACAGAGGCCCTGTGACAGTGAGTTTTAAGAGAGGCCTCCAGATCCCACAACTCTTATTTCGTCTTGAAAGGACAAAGACATGTGTTAGTTGTTTTTCCCTCAGTGGAAGATGAGAGTCTGAATCCAGTCACTTATCTATTGCCCCTGCAATTTCATGTTGGGAAAAACCTTTGGGATAATACCTGGTACACTATTGCCTAAATGATTTCTGCCCTGAACAAGATTGCTAAAAGGCTACTAAATGGCCTTTGTCCTGAACTTGATCTAAGACAAAATACAGTATTAATCCACACAAGGGAGTACTTGAGAACTGTTTTTATGACTAAAGCCAGAGGTAGCAGGTGAACAAATATTATAATAGAGAAACATCAGATTTAGCTTTGGGATGTTCCTTTTGTTTTGTTTTGTTCTGTTTTTTGAGACAGAGTCTCACTCTGTTGCCCAGGTTGGAGGGCAGTGGCGTGATCCCTGCCCACTGCAACCTCCGCCCCCTGGGTTCAAGCAATATTCGTGGCCTCAGCCTCCCCATTAGCTGGGATTACAGGCATGCACTACCACACTGGCTAATTTTTGTGTTTTTAGCAGAGACGAGGTTTCACCATGTTGGCCAGGCTGGCCTCGAACTCCTGACCTCAAGTGATCCACCGACCTCGACCTCCCAAAGTGCTGGGATTATAGGTGTGAGCCCCTGCACCCGGCCTTTGGGATGTTCTTAAAAGAAGGAAAGGACTCACACACATACATATATATGTCTTCTTTCATCTATTTATACATATATATATTTGATATTATATTTGATGTCCTAGATATGTATTTAGATGGTTACATACTTTGTTTTTTTCTACTAAATAAAGAAGGCCTATAGTGATTGTCTAGTTATTCCCTTCTTATTTTCTTACTTCTATAGTAAAGCTTTGCACATTTTTTTGGCAAAGGGCATTCTTAGACTATGCTAGTCGCAAAAACTCAGAGCTACACTGCTCTGCAGTGCCCTCTTCTGGCTCTAAAAGCTATTGACAATCACCTGAAATAATTAGCAAAACAAAGAATACAGAGATCCATTTCATGATAAGTAATTTCGGATCTGAAATTGTAAATTATGGCTGTGAAAGGACTCAGTAATTGCTCATTCTGGATCTAAACATATCAGAGATGTGGGAATACAAAGGAAGGAGATGAATGATGTAATTACAACGAGTTTACTTTGAAAAAAGTCAAAGATTCATTGAAAAAGATTTTCTTTGGTTTTGTTTGTAAACTGAAAACATCCAACTGCCTCAGATAACAATTATTTGACAGGATTAATAACTCAAAACAAGTAAATTAAATTTAAATTATCAACAATATAGAGATATTTTTAAAGTCTTGAACTTCTAAGTTAAAACACGTTTCCAGAATTATATACTTTAACACATAATTCAAAACTTCAACTCAATTTCCATAGAGTTATTTGTGATTGAATAATTTGGACCTGAAAGACATTCCAATGTATGAATCTTGCTGATTTTTTGGCAATGTCTTCTAATTAATGTACATGTTACTCTTTTTTCCCCTTAAAACAGAGAAACCTGGGCCATTCGACTTGTAGTTTTTGAGAGTCTGGATTTTTTTTTTTTTTTTGACAGAGTCTCACTCTGTCACCCAGGCTGGAGTGCATACAGTGGCATTATCATGACTCACTGCAGTCTTGACCTCCTGGGCTCAAGCGATCCTCCCGTCCCAGCCTTCTGAGTAGCTGAGTAGCCACCACATACAGCTAAGTAATATTTTTAAAAAAGAGATGGGGTTTCTTCATGTTGCACAGGCTAGTCTTAAAATGCCTGGACTCAAGCAATCCTCCTGCCGTGGCCTCCCAATATGCTGGGATTGTAGGAGTAAGCCACCGCACCCAGCCAAGAGAGTCTGGATTTTGCCGAAAGTACACTCTTGGTACAGTTCAACACGTTCTTCTGTCTTCTATTTCCTGAAAATTGGCAGCTGGTTCCAGAGGTTTCATCAGACAGACTCTGGTTTCATCCCTTTGGCAAGGCCATAGGTGGCATCAGATTCTTCCATCGAAAGGAACAGAGCGTGTGTGTTTCTTTTCGTGATGTTACGAGTCTTGATGTTCATTTCTTAGATCCGTTGACTTCATTCAGTTTGCAAAATTGTCATTTATTTTTATTAGTTGGGATAGTTTTATAATGAGGTGCTTTCCCTCCTGTATTATTTGGTTACCCAGTAGCAAAATTGGTATGGAAAAGCCAAGATAAATGCTTGATTATCGACTTTTACTTATTAATTTTATATGGTTAATTGATTTTGTATCATCCTCTCAAGGTAACCAATTACTGTTTTTAAAATGCCATGATGAACTCAAGATTTAAACATATTTGATGTTTAATGGATTTCAGTCCATGTTAATTACCAATCTTACTCTAAGTCACATTATCTCTACTGTGCTCATTGGGAGTTTTTCAAGTTGGTCAGTCCACAGATTCTTTTTATATGGCCCTCGTTGTCTTTGACAAAGCTTCCTTGTTCCTAGGACAAGATGCTCCAAAGTCATCTTGTACACTTCCTATTCAAAATCAATCATTTTCTTCAAGAAGCCCTGGTTTACTTATTGGAAAATTGGAAAACGGTGTTTCAAGAACATATCTAGATGAGTCCACAGACGCTCACTGCTATGGAGTTGGTCACTGTTTCAAAGATTTTGCCTGGGTTTATTCTGATGTTTTC